TTCCTATCGGTCGCTGTGCGAATAGTTTTATACTGTTCGTATGATGTGAATATCATAATAACCGGCCCTTAGCCGTGCTATCAAAAGCACGTGAGATGCCTTCCGCTGGAACACCCGTCCAAGCCCGAGTTGAGGAAAGGCAGTCTATCAAAAACCGTCCCATATATATTACATCACACGATCTTTCTCCCAGAGAGGACCCGTTCATTATACCGAAGCTGGCATCTGTAAACAAGTATTGCGTGTCTGCGGCTATGTACAGAGATGTTTGTGGCTGGGAATCTTTGGAATTTGCGAAGCGACGCCAATTCTGGGCAGGGATGGCAAAACCACCACGCATCCTTGTCACATTTGGCACTGATATTTCGACTGGAAATATGAACACGTTTTGTCTGCGTTAAAAGCTCCCTTTGGACAAAAGTTAGAATAATGGAACGGACATGTGTGTTGTGACACCAAGTGGTGTGGTGGGTGAGTACATATATCGCAGTATCAATCCTGAAGATGGAGCCAGTGTGTTCCTCTGAAAGTTCATACGCCATGGAAACCTCAATTCGCGGGATTATCCTCCCATTTGGGTCGACTCCGCAGACGACAGACTCATCCATTCGAGGGCAAGGGCACACCAAAGAAAGTAGCAACTGCAACTCGACGCAATTTCCGAGAAATGTCGTTGATATCGAGCAGGCGACTGGTTTCCAAATTAGCATGCCCACACAGAGGAGTAGTTGTTCACAATATCTTAATTTGAATTAAGTGCCGTCTTAACCACCGAAGCGCGTTATAGAACAGCTGACACTAGGAAACCACGCGGCAACGCAATTGTGAGAAGATTGGCATGCTTCGTTGCCTGGAAGTTGACTTTCTCAGTCATTCCTCTAGTTTCGTTGCTGTTTCCTTAATTTGCGCTTCCCCATACAGTAGCATGTGTTCCAACTGAGGCTGATAACAATGCTCGGAAATTGCGGTAACCAGTTTCCTTGGTGTGCCCTCGCCGTGAGCATGAAGGATTTGCCATGTCGACTGGTAGACTCCTACCAACGGTTCATACGAATTCGGTGCCCCTTACCCTGAAGATGGAGGCTGAAGGGTTAGTGGTGAATGTCTACTGGACTGCGTTGCTTCATGTAGTAAAAGACAGCAATCCTCATCTTATTGCTCAACATTGTGCAAGAAATACAGTTCAGAAACGTCGTTAAATAAATCAAGAACTTATTGACGTTACTCGTTCCATTGGGTCCCGTGTCGTAGATATACGGCACGTAAAAGAGCCACATGTCTCTAGGAGACCTCTGAGCAAAATTAGGCAACACATTTCCCGCCCAAGTAGTTTCCAATGCCTCTGGTAGATGGGGGAAATACCAGGTACCGAGGGCCGACCTCGTTGGCTGAACGGGGCTGATAGCACGCACCAGTACAGGTAGGGTATGGCGACAGTAGAAATTAAAGGGGGACGCAGAATGGACCAATAACTGGTCTAAGTGCATGGGAAAACCCACCCCCTCTAATAATAATACTAATAATAATACTCATTCCATGGCTCCACGGCCTTCTAATATCGCTGGTCTCAGTTAGGACAAACACCCGTTCTTATCCATTACATGCCTTTTTTTTTTCCTTCGCCACTTTATATCCATCTCTCGTAAATCATTCTCCACATCTCCCACGCATCTCATTCTGTCCACTTTCTCTTCCAAATGTTGGCTTAAAACAAGGCGACGGTCGCGGATTCGATTCCCGATGAATTAATTGGATTTTTCAGTTGACATAACGGTTTCATCCGCACTGTGGCCCTGGGGTCGACTCAGACTCTAACAGAAATGAGTACCATGAATCTTCCTGAGGGTAAAGGGCGGTTTGTCGTCGTATAGAGCTAACAACCTCACCGCCATCTGTAAGTCGATTGTCTAGAAAATGTGGGAGCCTGGACGTCTCACAACCCTATGGGCCTCCGCGGCCGTTTTACAGGGACCTGTTACCTTTAACGTTTACCCTTATCATATGCCCAATATCAGTGTAACCTTCTCCTTGTAATATGTGCTACCACATCAGAGACTTCTTACTTCCAAGGTTTTTAGTTAGTTTTTTATTTTGCAAACCCCTTGCTCACATATTGGTCGCTACACATTCTTCGAATTTCTCCCCTCCCACGCATGTAACATCTCTGTCATATCCACACACCGCAACTGCTTTTAGAGTTACAGATACTGTGTTTCTGGGCATTATCCGTCGTCCTGTTTCTGGAGACGGAATGCAGCCTTCGAAACGTGTTTCAAATAAAAACAGGACGACGGATAATGCCCAGAAACACAGTAGTTGTGTTAACATACCGTCTTCGGAAAATATTAGATCTTATTTGCTTCTAACTTTATATTTTGTACATGTTGGGGCACGCGGTAGCGTAGTTGGTTGAAGCAGTATGCTATACAAACTGGAAGGTCGTTCTTTCGATTCCCGATGCCATGGTACTTTTTTTTTTCAATTTACCTAATCCTTCTAGCCTGGGATCGACTCGGCCTCTGACAGAAATGAGTACCAAGAATCTTCCTGGGGGATAAAGAACGGCCTGCCGGCGCGTAAGGCTGACAGCCTCACCGGCATCTGTGAGCCGACTGTCTAGAAAATGTGGGAGTCTCGACGTCTCACAACCCTATGGGCCTTCACGGCATCTTACAGTGATAGCTTTACCTTTTTTACCTTTATTTTTTGTATTCTCTTCACAGTTCTTTATTTAAAAATAACCGTGAACCATAATATAATCGATTACCTGCATATAGACTCGATTTTTCGAGTAATTTGGGCACCAAAACAGTCGATGTCGATCACAGTGGCCGCGCTGTCTGAGGCATGAACTGTCTTCGCCCGCTCAGATACTTGGGTGTCGGTTCAAATCTCATTTGAGGCATGGATGTATGTGTGCGTTTATTCTGTGTGTAGGTCGCGGCCTTGCGACGGGCTGATCCCCAGTCCAAGGAATCTTACAGACTGAGTAAACGATCTAGAAATTCTTTCTGGTTTTCCCACCGATAACCTATACGCATTCCTCTTCGCCGTCATTCGTACTACATGCCCTGCCCATCTCATCCTTTTTGACTTGATCATTCTAATTAATCTCGCTATTCATAATAAACAGAATTGTAGTGGAGCAGGCTTCTTCCTTTGTGTCTTCGTATTTCCCTTTCCAGTATTTTTCCCACCATTGCTTTACTCCCATCTGGTACCGGCACCTGATGTATGCGATAGCCTTGATCAGGCAGCACATTATCACTCCTCAGGAGCTTCGTATCTGACCCGGCTCTCGTATAGTTACTGAGTAAAGGAAGTGTTTTCCTTGGTGAGACTCTTACGAAACGTCGGTGCATGCAGCTGTTGGGAAGCAAAGTATTACAGAACTTTAAGGTTTCGTAATTTTCCCCAGCGCGTCTAGACAAATGCCGGGATAGTGCCTCGTGTAGGCCACGACAGCTTCCTTCCACATACTTCCCAGGTTATGAGCCATCCTACCATTAGACGCTGTATAGGCTGGTTGCTGCCAGTGTCGTTAAACAATAGTCACCTGGGGATAGGAAGACACTGTCTAATAGATGTTCCCCGACGTTTCGGAGGCATATCTTAAGCAATCAGTCGATGTCGCAGAATGTATATGGATGTAGCACGTTTTTCCGAAACGTCGGTGAATATCTTCCGTGCTACACGTTGTCACATCTTAAAGCAGAGTCACGTGCTCGGCACTCGTGTTGCCAGTGGCTTCAGTTTTGAAGAATTCTTTTTGTTACACTACGCTGTCAGGAACTGAATGATTTAGCGTCGAATGATGAATTGAAAATGATCTGGAAGGAACAGGTCATGTTCTAAATAGAGATGATACCCGGCGTTGCCTGGAGAGACTGAAGAAAGCCAGTGTCCCCAAAGGGACTGGAACCTAGAACCTCGCGAAGAGGAATTTAGAGCGCTGTTGCTGAGCCACTCTGTGCGGCTTCAAGGAATTGAGAACTACGCCATGTGTTTTCTTATTTGTGGGGGGGGGGACCTTGATAGCGTGGGTTCGATGTCGCGTGAGATTTGTGGTGGACAGACTCCCCCCCCCGCAGGTATCCCTACTTTGACGCAGTCATATGATCCTGAGAGCTATGCGGACGGTAGCGTAACTACTGGTAGGGTCTCCCATGCCGGGCAGGGCAAGGGTGATGATGTGAGACAAAAAGGGATACCCTTTTTTAACGGTTGCAGTCGGACGGAAACGACAAAATTGAGACGAAAGTCACAGCGTTGTCAAATGCCAGATGTTGCATCACGAACATCACGAAACATGCCACCCTAGAGACCCTAGAGACGGATGGTCAGTGACAGAGAAAGTGTTGGATGCCGTAGAAGTCCAGTGGCCGGACGCCATAGGACCTATATATAAAACTGACGCTGAGGCAGCAAAATGTTTATTTAATGTTTCGAAGTATTATGTAGACGTTATAAACATGCTAAAACAATAAACAAAGCAGTTATTTATGTTGCATAGAAGTCGTTAGTGATATGTCGTGTTTATACGCAATGCCTCAGAAGACGATGAGAGACTTGTTGACTGATTCCGGATATGTTTCTGATGTTAATGCAGATTATAGCGTAGTTTTAAGTACTATGGATTGGATAAATAAATTTATTGACAAATTATACACACCACTCGGAACTACAAGTAATTACAGCGCAATCGCAGATGTACGCACTTTGCGGTTCACCGTTACGTACACGCTAGTGTCCTCAGTCTATTAGTCTCCACTAGCCACTTCCTCATAATGGATATTTACACAGGAACTGTGAGAGTCTCACTGAGTTACACACTCCAAGTATCGCGGTACTATAGCGCACACAAAGTCTTCTCATCGTAGCCAGACTTTCAGCTCTCATGTGAACTGCACTCAATACGAGTAATTCTGATGCCTCCATTCCTCACTTGAACTCGTCCACTCCTGGCAGGCTCAAAACTGAATTCCATGCAATTGTTTCAGGTCCAGACGTGATGCAGGAAACTCCGTCCATTCTTACACCTGAGGAAGAAGAGAAGAGCATGAAGCGTAAGTGGGAACCATTTCTTTTTGTGTTCGTTTATAACTGATGAACTGGGTAGGAGAGTAATTCAGGCACAACACTTATACATGAACTGTCTGTTGAGAGGCACAAAGCAAAGAGTTGATGCATTATTTTGGCGGCACATAGTATGGAAAACGCGGCGAACCTTTTCAAAAACCAACCAATCCTCATATTTCTTTCCACACACAATGTAAATGAATGTAACGGTGAGATGAAAGCTCTAAATTATGCAATTTTTGTTACCATAGCAACGATTTGTTGAGCATTATCACGTTGCATGAACTTCAGTTACATACTAGGTCACGAATGATGTAGCCGTCCTTTGTTTCAGTGTATCGTGTCTATTTCGTGAGTATTGATAATATTTTGAAGTGATTCATCTAATTCTGAGGTCAAGAATGGTAGGGTGATACCTCCACCCCCACATACGTCCCGATGGGGTAGTTCTTAAAGATGTAAAGTGTCGTATACTATACAACGGTGATGGTTTAATATTGATTATTTGTGCGTGTTATTCATAAGAGACGGTGTTAAATACCGGCCTCAAATTATCAATTGGTAACACGTAGACTGAAAACGAATGTGGGAGCAAGCAGTAGCACCAATATTTGTATGGTGAGGCTCATCAGTGAATCTCAGTGAGCAGTATAAAGGTAGAGCTGTCTCTGTGCTTAACTAATTGAGCACTGTGCCTAGAAGCCGTATTGGGGAGTGGATGTATAGATCCACATTTTCTTGACCTCGGCACTGACTGGAGGTGAGTGGCCAGCTTCACGCCCCGGCCGCTTTACCCCCGGGGGAAGAGCCCCTGGTACCCATTGGATAGGAAGTTGGGTGGACCTGGATGTCATGGAGAAGAGAAAATTCTTGACCCTACTGGGACTCAGTCTCTGACCCCTTGGTCATCTAGCCCGTAGCCAGACACTATACCTACTGCACTATCCTGTCTGCTTACAGATAGTAGTATTACACACACAAAAATTGTAAATTACAGGCTGCTTTTACTAACGTTAAAGAAATCAGTGTAATCATTGTTGCCCACTTTCTCTCTGGTGATATTAATTGGAATTAAGTACATATGATTTCTGCTTTCTAAAACAATTGAAGATACAAGCCTCCTGGTTTCTCATTGCAGATTTCGCCACATTACTGACTGGACGAACATCATCCATGTTTCATAGAGAAGACGGGTCACCATCTGTCAGTTTGCACCAAAATAACAACAATTATGTTGCCACTGGTAGATTCACCTTCCATCGCAAGAACCTCTACTACTCATTCTATGTGTCTGACCCTTTATACCGCCCTCGTGCCCTGCAGTTTTCAGACTTTGAGGGTAATATTCTGGGAGAACAAGCCTTGTTCATTGATGGAGTTACCAGTGTATATCAAAATGTAACTGGCAAGGTAATCTTATATTTCGCTAAACTATACTAGAATTAAACTGTCTTTGCATGCTGAAACGCTGGGATCATTGGTTCGAATCACACTCAGGGCATGGATGTCTGTTGTGTGCGTTTATTCTGTGTTTGTGCTGTCCTGTGTAGGTAGCAGCCTTGAAACGAGATGATCACTCGTCCAAGGAGTCCTACAATCTGTGTAAAAAAGATTGTGGAACTGAAGAAGAAGCCAGGCCCCAATGGCTGTAGAGCCATTGATGAATGAATGAATACTAGAATTAAACTTGTTTGGAAATGTAGGCACAGCTCAACTGGTGCTGTCTGAATAACAGAACGTTTGGGCCGCGGGAGGTTTGCTAAGAAAGGAGAGGGGATTAATATTATGACCGTGAGTTGATGAAATGCATGTGGTCATGTGTTTAATGAAAGAACTTGATCTTCTAATCGCCGGTTTTACTGTCCAAAATGCTCTTTTATAAATTGTCGGCATTGCTTTCTATGTGTTTCTGTTTGTGTAGGTGTGTGGCGTGTGGCGGAGAGTGCCAAGAGAGTATCGCAGGTTGCTGAGGGAAGAGAGGATGTTTGTCTCATTGCTGTGGGGTACTGCAGATCAAGAGCAACATATTCTGAGTGGCCAGGTGGCAAGGTGAGCTCTTTCTGGATATATCATTCATGTGATTAAATTGCCATTCCCTCTTGGTCCATTGGAACAACAAAAGCAACACTAGAGCCACCAAGACAATCTTGGGGAACATAGGAGTACAACTTAATGTTCTCGATTTTGATGATCATCATATGATTAAAAGAAAAAGTGACATGCTAGGAAAATCATTGTAATCTCCAAAGCTACTGATTATGTTTAAATCTTTGCAGTTTGGACACTGGCTTGGTCCAGTTATTCGATTTCTCTTTTGTGGTCCTAATCCAGACCCAGTATGGCTTCGCACTTTTGTGCACTGTGATCCTATGCCAGACTCAAAACAGCTTTTCACCATCCATTGTTGTGGTCCACCTGGACACAGTCTGGATTTTTACATTTTCTATGAAATCTGGACATATTTTTTAAGAGTAGCTAAAAATGAAGTGGTGCCATGTTTTTGAACTTCCAAAAAATAATTTGATGTGGTTGAACCACATTTCGTAAAAGGGTTGGATCGCATGTGCAGTTATTCAAATAGTTTACCAGTTACCTCTTTTCATTCCTTGCCAAGAGCTGGAATCATTGATGGTGTGTGTCATACAACAACATAGATAACTAGGACTTAAGATGTTGGATTTGAGATTCTCACTGTAGCGACTATGAAGAATGCCATATAATGCCTTGCAGCTCGAGAGAGCCCAAAGTTTAGAAGGAACAAACCTATTGTCTCCTTTTTCAATTTCAAAGGAAATGCCAAGCAAACCTGCAGAAACAGGTGGCAAGCTGAGCAAAACTTACTCTGGGAACATGAATATGGAAGTGGCATATTTCTCTGAAACGTGAGGCTGCACGGCATGGCTCCCTAAGGCAATATTCTTCATGTGATATGATCCATTACATTTACTACATATGTTTGTATTAATATCAAAGTAGTATGTTATAATTTAAATGAAATGAGGGACTCACATTTCAATACACAAATTTTATTAAAGCAAATCACTTCTCCTGTGTGCCTATTAAAAGGTTCTGCCTTTGCTACTACAACAGCTTGTGTGTGCATCTTGGAAACTCCTGCTAACTCCTCTGGGATGTGATGCTCTGTAGTCTGGTAGAAGTTTACCGACATTTTGGAAGAATATGAGTATAATGTCTCCCACCATCACCACCATCATCATAACCATAGCCTTCCTGTGAAGATACTGCCAGATGTGTCGGTTCCTCGTTATTAGACCATTCAGTATCCACTGCTTAGGATTTTGCAACCTGTAGTTGGTTGAGGCACTGTGCTACAAACTGGAAGGTCATGGGATCGAATCCCAATGAGGTGAATTTTTGCAGTTTACCTTAATCCTTCCATCTGCACTATGGCCCTGGGGTCGACTCAGCCTCTAACAGAAATGAGTACCAGGAATATTCTTGAAGTATTCTTGGGGATAACGGGCAGCCGGCACGTAAAGCTGACAACCTTACCACCATCTATGAGCTGATTGTCTAGAAAATATGGGAACCTCAACATCTTACAGCCCTATGGGCCTCCACATCCTGTTACAGAGATACCTTTACTTTTACTTTACATTTCTTTGTAGGGCAAAATCGTCACCCTTATGTCCCCCCCAAAAAACTAGGGGACCAGATCACTGAATTTATGTCCCCCAGTGACAGGGTGACCCAGTTGTACCCCCAGGCACCGGGTTCCCTTTTTTCGACTTCTACCACTCGCAGGACTATGGTGGAGGTATTCTAACCTGCCTCCACATGGGGAATAATTTTTCCATCTTCGCAGTAAACCAAGGAAGCACCCAGCAAGAAACGGATTGCTATGTTGCTTCTAGATGGATGCATGCATGGTTTACTCTTTGACCCTGAATCTGGAGGCTGTATGTTCCTCCAAAGTGTCTGCAATTTTTTTCCAGACTCCAGGCATCCCATCCCAGAAGATGCACGCCGTCATAAGAACTTCAGGTTTAACACTTTATTAACCACAATTATTGTAGAATTACAGTGAGGTCCAAACCCAAGTGACTTACAATTTAAAGGGGGCATGAGCACAACTCTTCATGACCATGATCAATGTGCATTAGCCCAGGAGCATTGCAGAGAACTTTCCCAATTATTCAGTATAGGTATAATTTGACAGAGTTTGTTTTTAACAGTAATTTCACATTGAAATTTCAGCCAGCATTTTGCTAATTTTGTGCATAATATATACAGACTTCACACAAAAATCTAATTGTGATAATATGAGGCAGATGTTTCTTTTTGTTCCATTGACTTTCCCTCAGTCAAATGCACTCATGCAACATTATTCTTTATCTCTACTGCATTGAAAACTGTGCTTCGTGGAATGTGCCCTTGCAGTGACATAAATAAACGTGTTTAACATGGTGTTGCTGCAGGTACCGATCCCTGAGCACCGAGCTGTTCACATCACTCATGCAGCCAGCTCCAGGGACAGATTCATTAACGATGAATGGTGCCGGAGGGACAGCCATCATATCTGCATCCTCGTCTGCCCCTTCAATACACGTGTCAATAGTGTTCAATGGCATCTTCTCTCCTGAAGAGTTTGCTGATGTCCCAATAGTTGTGCGGCTTGAATCACTAGAAAAGCAGCAAATAGTACTGCAAGAGGTTAGTATTACAAGTAGCCAGCCATACACGGATAATATCTCTATAATAAACATTAAACATAATCCTATATATTTTGAATTTTCTAATAATTTTCATACAGAATTATTACATAAGATTTTAAGCTTTCACTATGATGAATGTGCTAAATTCTTCTCCGGCCGTGAATCATGTGAAAGTTAAGCTAAAAACCAATGTTTCAGAGATCTCCTTCATATCCATCATCAGGTTCAGTGTGGTGAATGATCATATTGTCGCGTATGGGACGTATATCGCGACAAATAACTTCACGCCGTATTTTATATAGCGAATTTTATTTCACATTCGCTCTTACAATCACCCAAATTACAGATTTACAATTACTGCTATCTGCAGTATCACAAATAGTACTCTCCAAATGCCACAATACAACTGTCTGGTTGCTGGCTAACTCGGAACTAATTCGGAGGTAGCTCGAGGACTGACTCGGAGGTAGCTCCAGGACTGACTGACTGACTGACTGTGAATAGCCTTCGCTGCTCCTTATGTAGCCTTGATCGGACAATTGTCGTCTGGCGCCGTGCTGCTAGCCACGCTGTCCGGAGTTGTTGACTGCTGCCTAGCAACCGCGATATCCCTCGGTGACGTCACCGCTGTTGATTCGCTTTGCATAGCTTCAAGGTTGCGGGGACTCGGCTAACGTCGGCTCCGCTCGGCTCTCTTCGGCTCCGCTCGTGACGTCACCGCGCATTGCGCGTTGCATAGCTACCAGGATGCGGGGTGATTACTTGCCTATTACGCGAGCGCTACGTTACAGCTACGTGCAGCTGGGGAGGTAGGGGTCAACATGTCACACTATGTTGCATATATATATATATACACCAGTTTGTCAGATTGATGCATTTTCTGTTTTGCATTATTAGCCGTAATGATCCCTTTGTTATTACTGTCAAACTGAAATCTAAATGAAATCTTTCCATGGCCGCCTTTCTATTAAAAGAATTACTACAACAAAAGTTGCACGTTTTTGAAGATCTATTAAAATACTTAATTTTAGAAGCATAAATTATAAGTCCCAGTGCTACCATACATCACATGTTCACCCATCCACCACGCAATTCTTACTAAGCTCAAGAAATTAGTAGATATAAAGAGGGAATTACCATCAGTGGCATACTTTCAGTACATGATTTCTGCATAAATTGGTCAGCTGATTCAGAAGTTGAAAGGCTGGAAGGCACACCCGCAGGTAGTATGGCTAAAAACAGTTTATTTGTTAGGCTTTTAGTCCTTTCAGTGGTCCATTTAAATCTTGAAGAAAGGGAAAGGGAGACCCGGCATCGAACCCGGGGTGCCACGGTGGGAAGCCAGTGACTAACCACTTGAGCTGTGGTGCGGCCAAATATCTACCATACTACATGGTCTCATGTACCAGGAAACAGTAATGATTATTATTTTTTTTTGTTAATGTTAGACTTGCTTTTTGTGTTCCAAATTTACTTTGTTTAAAAATAAGGGTAATAGGATGTGTCCGAAAGTTAAATTTGTTTTACAGGAGGTCAAGATTGAGAAGCCAGCCCATGAACTGAATACTGTAGAAGTTCAGACAGCTGTCTCAAGTGCAGACTTGAGACTGTTGACAAGAGGGAAGTTGGTGGTATCCATAGCATCGAAGAAGAAACCAACAGAACTGAGGCTGGAGGGCAAAGTTATAACACGAGCTACATGTGAAATATTTCAGGTAACCTGCATAACAAACCGAGATGAAACTGCAGTGATTGATTTCCTGAACATTACCCATCATACAGTATTTTTAACGACATTTTGTAGAATGGACCCTGTCTCTGAAATATCTTTTTAAAAAATATTTGAATGATAAATAATGTGCAGGAGCTCAGTCATTACAGTAATATATCATCATCACAGACTCATAGATCTTGCTGACGGAAAACCGGTTCCTTCTCAGGATTTTCTGTTTTAGAGGCAATGAAGCAATAAAAATTCATATTGCATTCTGGGTTATGGTATTGTGTAGTGTTATAGATGGGTACCACTGTTTAGAAGGCATGTGTTGCCACCATCACAAGACAGAGGCACCACTTCAGTTTTGGACAGCAGACCACAGTGCTCCAGCAGAAGTACGTGTATGCCAGCAAGCCGTGTGCAAAGAAACATCTGTGTTCTGTCAGAGAACCAAAGTAGTGCTGTCCGAGTTTGTTGAGGAGTGGGAAGGGTTTATGTGACACTGTTGGTAACAAGGCTGTACAGCCTCAAAAGGCAGGATAATGGGGATGGGATTTACAACGTAGTATCAAACATTAATAAGATAAGTAAGGTCTAAAGGTTTGTGACATTGGTACAATACATTCATTCATTTTTTATTTGTTCACAAGATCTACATTAGGCAATTTTGCCTCAGATATAGAACACGTCCATAGTTTAAATGTCCATAAGGATAGGGTCATAACAGAATACAGAAAGTACAAATATACAAATGTAAGTTTAAAAACATCCAGAGAACCATGTTATAACAGAAAACCTCATATACATAATAGCAATTCATTACATTAATACAAATATTATGGTTCTTGACATAATCCTGTTTTTATTTAGGAAAACCATTTCAGTGACTGGAATTTGTATCCGTCTTCAGGTGGAACCTACTCAGTTGGACCCAACTGACAGAGCTAGTCTCTATCTTCAGACACTTGCATAAAAATAAGACAGGGTATAAGAGCCAAGCACAGCACAAACCATCTGCAATAGTTAAGACAAAACTTTAAAACATTTAAAGGTCATTGGGTTTATCTATTTTGGTTTCTATAATTCGTGGGCATGTATGAAGCCTAACACCTGAAAACTATCACCATATACAGAAAATATGTGGAATCCACTCACATATCTCTGATCCTATCCAATCAATCTACCCAGGTTGGACATAGCACCCGTCTGAACTCCTGTTGTCACAGCAGAAGTAAAAACTGAACTCCATAAAGTGTAGACTAAGAGGGAAAATTTGTTTCTTTTATCTTGGTACCATACAGAGAATTTATCTCTCTAGTGATGACTTCAGTTTTGATAATACTCTGATGCTAATTCTCATGCATGTGTAGTTTTTAATATTTTGTCTTAACTTTCGCAGATGGTTTATGCTGTTCTTGGTTTATATATCCTATCCTGTGTTGGTGTAGGCATCTGGAGGTAGGGACTAGCACTACTGAATAGGCCCAACTGAGTAGGTTGCACCTGAGGATGGAGACAGAATCCAGTTGAATTTTTAACTAAAAATAGGACAATGGCTAATGTGCAGAAACATAATATTTGTGTTTGAATGATAGATGAATGATGAATTGATAAGGATTTAGAAGAGAACGGGTGTAGCCAAAATATGGTACTATCCCAGAATTTTCCTGGAGGGAGTGAAGAAAACTAAAAAAACTCAGCAGGATAGCCATTGTCTTGCCAAAGGTTTAAAATGAGTACCTCCCACATATGAATCTAGAGACTGCTACATCAGCCTATGCCCTCAGAAGCTGGCTGAATAAACATCACAACTGATATGTGAGATAGAACACAGGGGAGTTGAAAGCAGTGAGACTGCTGATCACATGGCAAAAACAGGTTCTGAACTTCCCATTTGCAGGACCTGGACGGTGGTACAGCATCTAAGAAGAAGTCACTAAGCAGATCATCTCAAACCAGAGAACACCAGGAAAGCTGGCAGTGTACTTGTATTTCAGTTGCAACATGCCATTCCAGTTTATTCATAACATTTCTTTCATAAACCTGAAAGCAAAAAAAAAATATATATATATATATATACATTTTTCTCATTGTCTTTTTGAAGCAGAAATTCATCAACATCCAGTTTCCATATTGTTTTTACTAATGTTAGCAGTGATTGAGATTAATTTACCTAAGACATTTATCTTCAGTCAATTCTAAAGACTTCTTTTGCTGATTCTAATTTTAATCTAGGATTAAAAGAGGTTAAGTCTCCAAAGGCAGCAGACATACATACAAAGTTGCGCTATTAAACAAGGAAGAAGGATACATGCATGCTTGGACATGAGGAACAAAAGTTCCCTGAACTAAGGCATAATTTTTAGTAAAGGGGTATGTAAAAAATAAGTCACCCTGGATGCATTGCCCTTCTGCACGTAAACACTTGCTTCTGCAGTCTTTCCAATGTGGGAAACACATCTCAAAGTTCTCTTCTGTCTTGATTTTGAGACCTGCTTTTATATGCTGTTAAATTTCCCCCACAGATGAAATGTGAATAAGTTTAAGCCCCATCTTGAGTCTCAGTAAGAGCCAGAAGTCGCAGTTGCATGGTATGAGGTTGGGAGAATGTGGTGGCCAAAAGAACTAATGCAGGAATACCAAGTTAGAGTTGCATAAAGAAAGTAATTGGTTTACCATAAAGCAATGAAAATAAACCTAATTCAAGTATGTTGATGTCACAGTTTCTGCTAATAATATATTAACACTTAGGGTTATTGTACTGTACCATCATTAAAACCCTTCATAATTGATTCTTACAACCAGTACAGACCCCTCTTTTAGAAAAGTTTTCAGTTGGGGGAAGAAAAAGATCCAGTTTTCAAAACTGGAATCTCAGATGATGGACAGAGTACAGAGACTCTGTAATTGTAAGGTTTGTATCTCGCTGCTTACACTGCTGTTTCTATTTTCAATAATATTTCTGTAGGGTGTTCTATCATCAGCTGACGCTGACAACACAAATGATGAAGATGAAGATTCCGAGAAGTCTGTTTCTGCTCAGACAGTAACGTCTGGCATGGCATGGATGTATATGAATCGGGATGGAGCGTTAGTTTACAGCGTACAGCTGGATGAACTCAGTCTCGAGGATTCTCCAATGCTTGTTCTGGTATCAGGTCATCGAAGTGGGGGAAGACGGTCACTGTTGGAACTTGAAGACCTTACTCCAAGTCTTAGCTCAGGCTGGGCAAATGGTATGTTAGTTTCACATTGTATGTGTCATGAATATTCTTAAAGCTCATTAACAGTGTGATGTCACTCTCTTTCTGTAAGTCATGTTGTGTCTTGTACACAGTTTTGCTTGTGCCATGACCAGCTAAGTCGTTTGATATTTGTGCAGATTTAGTTGTTTCATAATAAATGTTCATTCTGGAGTATAAAATAACATTTGAACTATTAATATTCTTGTCGATTTTCACATAAAAATGACACAAACCTGTACGATAATATATGCTCGATTCATAGAATGGCTCTTTCAGGGAACAATCATCATGCTGTGCTCTTAATTTTTTATACAGAATGCATGTCCATAATAAATCTGGTGATTGATGCCTCTCTTGATCTATTAATAGATCATACCAAAGCAGATACATATAGACTTTAATCAAACTCAGTCACTAGCCTTCATTACACACTTATCAAGACAGTACACATTTAATGAACGTGTTTTGACCTTTAGTAAATTTGGTTTAACAGACTAATTCCCGTTTTTTCTCACACAGTTAATTATATGCATAAATCTTATCATTACCATTTCTTTAAATCGTGTTTCTTTTAAAACATGCTAATTGCAGTCATTACAATATCCAGTTAAATTATTATAATTATTAATAGGTCTAATTGCCTACCTGGATATCCAGAACACTAATAATGTTGTACATATGCAGTGTCACCTTCAGAGATAAACAGCACACCATGTATAAGAGCAGAGACTGATCATCACATAGCCCTGGGCATCAGGACATTTTGCTGGCTCCACGGAATTTTGGAAAAATCCGAATTGAAGACAAGACAGAAGCACATCAAATGTTATGAAACTCGTTAATAAAATACTCCAGGGTGAACATTAAAGAGTCTTAAGCAGCTCAGAGGCAAGTTTGTAAACAAATTTCCTGACCTCTGTTACTGGTTGCTTTAATGTGAATCTTGCCTCAAGGCCCCATACATGATGAATCCTTTAGTGCAGCAGACTGCATAGAGAGTACAGTCACAATGTGAAAACTAATCACGTGTTGAGTAATCTGCAGAAAGTCATACCAGTGAGGCAGCACATATAACAATCATCCTGACATTTGTGACAGAAGAACAAAACAAAAAGACACATAAAAATCTTAGTGGAGTGATCAAAGAAACAGTCCAGTTTGTCTCATGATGAACTTCTGAGGGAACTTGAAAGTACTGAACCATCTAACTACAATGGAACACTTTGGCATTCATAGAATTATTGGTTCTTGTTCTTTCATATAAAAGAAAGAGACGGTGATAAATGCAATTTCACGTATGTTAAAATATCACCACTCACAGTACAGCATTTTGCAAACTCTTGCTGCATTTTGATTCTGTGCACCAGTTGCACAACACGTCAGTCAACTCTATTCTTGTCAAAGTGATTACACAACAGTGTGAAACGATTGAGCATGAATGGGGCCATTTAGATCTTGGTTAACAAACCCTGTGTGTCCATAAACAGGTACTATAGATAGACTTAGTCCACGTGAACTTGAGCAGTTATACGCTGGTGAATTGGCCCTGAATGTTGCAACAAGATTGGAACCAAGTCTTGTAAGAGGAAGACTGGTCCCTAGGCTGATGGCTGATGCCAGGGACTCCCATTCACCTGTGCTGCTTAAGAGACCAAATGAAACAGTACCAGCTGCTTTGGTTGGAATGGCCTGGCTTGGTATTGATTCAGAGTGCAGCTTACATTTTGAGGTAAGAATTTGATTGTACCAGTTCTGTAGCAGCGAATAAATATTCCAATATTATCAAGGCTTACAAATTTATGTATTTCCAGAAGTGTGACAGAATGAATTCTGTATTATTACATTTTTAAAACGCTATAACATTAGCCTATACACAGCGGCCTCCGTAGTCTAGGGGTAACGTTCCCACCTCATGACTCAAGGTACACGGGTTCAAACCTGGCTGAGGTCGTGGAATTTTTAAGGGTAGAAAAATTCAGGGAACAAGTCCTCCAGGAGGGACTTAAAGCCGTGGGTCCCGTGTTGTAGATTTATGGCACGTAAAAGATCCTCAAGTCTCTAGGAGACCTCTGAGCAAAATTAGTCAACAAGTTTCCCGCCCAAGTAGTTTCCAATGCCTCTGGTAGATGGGGGCCTACCTCGTTGGCTGAATGGGGCTGATAGCATGCACCAGTACCGGTAGGGTATGGCGACAGTAGAAATTAAAGGGGGATGCACAATGGACCAGTAACTGGTCTAAGTGCATGGGGAAACCCACCCCCTCTAATAATAATAATAGCAGCCTATACACGAAGCACTTTAATATGTAACACCTGTAACAATTAATACACCCATGCACATGTATTCAACAAGAAAAAGAATGGTGATTTTTGTATGATGGAGGTGAACAAAATAGCGCTTTTGACCTTAAGCTGGGCAAACAAAAAATGTATGTAAGAAGCCTCAGGTAAGCACATGCCATTTGTGAACTTCTTTCTGTAGAAAAATATTTTTCAGTATTTTAACATAAAGTTTAAGAAGTACAATTTACTTGCATAATAGAAAAATTGGGCTTGAGGAATCAAACGACATCCAGAAAATATAAGGCAGTATGTTTACACCACCATAGCAGCCTTGACTGTGATGCATTGTGGCAACTCAGTAATGTAAATTTTGTAACTTCTTTGAGTATTCTTTGTTCAGTTTGCAGTAGGAAGCAGGAGAGTGACGTGAAAGTTACATTTTTATGAATATCAGATTTAAGGACAATAGATATGATGTTCTTTGAACTTCAGATGAAGAGAGACACGATGCATCCATATTTCTCTGTATGAATGCCCTAGATATATGCTGTAGAATATAGATATTTGCTTCAGTATTTCTCATTTTGGATTTATTCACTCTACATTCCATTTTCAGAATGGATGTTACAAATATTATTTGTGCAGTTTGTAAGGATATTGATGTATGGTTCTTATCAGTGTTGTTATGTATGAACCATTGGCTGCAGGTTTCTCCACCCTGCTAGAGTAGTTATGTTGTTAAGATTCCTGACAGAAAAATATGGTCATGGGTCCTGCAAAGCCCCAAACCTATAATGACTGTTCTGGCAAAGGCCAACAGCAATTTGCCCAACCGACTGACTGAATCTTAGCCAGTATACTTGCTGTCCAGACTAAGGATTATCATGGTATGTCATTTAAGCTATGGCCACTTCCTCCAAGATCCTTTCACTTTCATTGCTCATAGTACCATTCGATGCTGTGGAGTAGCTGTGGAGCTACTGAAAGCATGGCCATATAAAGTAAGAACAAGATAATGAATCATCATAACGCTGTAAACTCTGTTCTAATTCAGTAACTTGTCACTTGTGTTGTGTGTAGGTAATGCTGTCTGGCCTGGCCTCGGAGGACCACAGCCTCAAGTTGTACTTGAAAACACTGCCATTTGTAGTTCCTGGAGCCCCTGTCTTCAAAAGACTTTTGGAGGAGTTCAGAGGAAGCCACTTAGAAGGTTTTGTGATGGGCATATCACAAAATGAATTCCTGAGAATTGACTCAGGAGTTAATTTCTTGGAGGTGCATGATCACGTTTCAGGATCTGTTTGGTTGAGAGCAAGACTCAACTGGGTAAGTCTTCACTTTCATGCCCATGAATAAAAACGAATTAAAATGTGAATGTTTAAACATCCAAGGAAAATGTGAGATGTGTTTTTTAGGTGTACCAGGCTAAATGCTGAAATCAGAAAGAAACTAGAAATGTAGAAAAGGTATAGCTATCCCTGTAACAGGCTGTGGAGGCCCATGGGGTTGTGACACATCGAGGCTCTCACATTATCTAGACAAGATGGCTGTGATGTTGGCAGCCTTACTCTGGCCACCCTTTATCCCCAGGAAGATTCCTGTTACTAATAGAGACTGAGTTAACCCCAGGGCCCTAGTGCAGCTGGAAGAATTAGACCAATTGAAAAATCCAATAACCTGATAGGGAACCGAACCCGCGACTTTCGGGCTTGTAGCATAGTGCCCCAGCCGTGTGTGTGCCCCAGAAAGAACTATGCATTAGTAAATATAATATTCAGTGATCCATTTTTGTGCATAATTTCCAGTTGTACAAATTCCAGCTACACATATTCATTTATTTGTGGTTTATTTAATGCATGTGTCATTATCTCAGACTATACAGCACCATATGATGGATGATTTAATGAACAATGAATCGGAAAGAAAATGGAAGAAAACAATTGTGACCTAATTTGTGTTATTTCCAGATATTTGCTTGGGGACAGCTGAGTGAAACTTCAGTCAGAAAAGCTGGTGTTCCATTTGAGCCAACTTGTACAGTCCAGATTTTCACAATCCCTGTGTTTTGTAATTGCTGAAATGAAAACAGTACTTCATACACGGTTCATAGATGATCTTATTGAACAAGGATTTTTATAAGCTTAGCTCCAGTTCGTTAATTATTGACATCTGACCAAAGCAAATGTAGATGCTACGCCATTGTCATGATGATGTTTTGTATTTGACAAAAATGAAATTACTTTAACAAAAATTGCATATTTTTTAAGTACAACAAGATATTAGAAGGTCCTAGAGCTGTCTTGGTAATGGATGAGGACAGTGATCTGCTGGCAGATTCCCGAAGCATTTTGAGCAGGTGGAGGAGTTCTCTTCTCACCTGTTGAATGTCTGTAGGGTTAGTGACTTTAGCAGACCACTAGACATACTGCTGAGCCATTAGTACCTGAACCTGATCCTTTTAAGACTGAAATTATTTTTTAAATATAGAATATCATAAAGTTCCAGATATTAATCAGATTTCTGCCAGAACTGATCCTAGCAAGGGGTGAATAAGGAATAAGGAAGAATTGCCTGAGCAGGGCTAATAGCCTGTTACTGTACCATTTTACAAGAAAGTCGATGAAACTAATAATTATCAAGGCATATCACTGTTATTAACTCCATACAAGGTTTATACCCAATATCCTTCTCACAGTTTCATTATAGCAGACCAAGTACTGATCAGATTGTTTGCATAGTGAAACCTATACTGGTAAAACATTTGTTTGATATATTTCAAACTCAGAATTGTCTAAAACAAGAAGGTGCTTTTTATCACAATTGCTGTTCAAATTTGCATAGCATAAAGATAGTGAATAGATCATTTGAATATGTGGCAGTTCAAATATTTGGGAACAAGAGTAAGAAATCAAAATCTGATTCATGAGTAAGTTATGATAAATTAAATTCAGGTAATGCTTGCTATCATTCAGTTCATAACCATCAGAACCCATACAGTGCAGTGGTATTTAAATGGCATGCATGCTGGGGGCATGGACTAGATCATTTGGCTCAGGATAGGGACCAGTAGAGTGCTCTTGTGAACACGGTAATGAACCTTTGGCCTCAATAAAATATTGGACACTTCTTGAGTAGCTGAGAGACTGCAGTCTTCAGGGTTAACTTACATATGTAGGTTTCAGCCCAGCACACACGTGAGGAAGTGTGTTTGGGCCAGTGGGACAGTGGACAGGGACATATTATCAAGATGTACAGATTCTGCTGTGACAATACACATCTCTTGACCCACGGTAGAAGAGGTAAGCAACATTGTGCTCGGTCACTACTTGAACTGTTAATCGCTTGGGAACATCAGTTGCTGATGGTTTTTGATACCCTTGGTGACCCTAAAAAAATGGTTATTTTTATAACAGTTTCCTTTCCACTGTCCCTATTGGACGAAAACTGCTGTATGCATGAACACTCACTCACACTACATACTTTGATCCTGAAGATGGATGCAGTAAGTATCTATGTAACAACATTGCCCACATCCTTGCAGTGCAAAGGCCCAAGAAGAGAATCAACATCAGTGATGGATCATTGTGAAAACCTAAAATGAGTCACTTAGTTAACTTTGAAACTGTAAAATTTAAACTGTGGCATTTGTTGCAGATATCAGTGCCATTATCTTGCTTGCCTAAGTACTCAGACAATGATGTCCCTGGTAGTACTTACCCACAGATTGACAGTAGTGTTCCTGAAGCAACTAAATGCTACCACGAAATGCAGTTCTTTGATGAGGGCGCTCAGTGGCGATCAAAGCAAAACCCATGCACCATGTGTAACTGTCATCAGAACCTTGTAAAGTGTGATCCAGTTCCATGTCCACCACTGACATGCAGCAGCAGGACAGCGCCTGGAGAGTGTTGTCCATCTTGCACAAGTAAGTCGCTTGGTAGGAAGGAACCAGACCAGAGCATCCAATATACAAGAGAAGTAACTAATAAGATATATTTTAATCTTAATTTGGACCTTAATTTAACCTTCAACTAAATATACACTAATTTAACTAATTATATCTACATAATTGAGCTAAAAAGTAGTTAATACCAAGAGTTTTGTAACCAAGCATAATGTTACATGTTATGTAGGTAAGGTAAAGTTGTCCCTGTGCTTAACCAGTCAGGCACTATGCCATGAAGGTGTATGGGGAGTGGCTGTATAGATCCAGATTGTCTTGACCTTGGCATTAGTTGAAGGTGAGTGGTCAGGTTCACGTCCCTGCAGCTTTACTCCTGGGGAAAGAGCCCCCAGTACCCATTGGATAAGAGGGTGGGTGGACCCAGAGCCATTCTGGATGATGAGGAGAAGAGAAAATTCTTGACCCCACTAGGACTTGAACTCTGACCCCTCGGTCATCCAGCCCATAGCCAGTCACTATTCTGGCTCCTACATATTATGTAGTCATATTCATAATATGGATCCATATTAAAAAGGAAGCTGAGCACCTAAGCACAACCAATACGCATTGTGACAACCAAAGAAGGGTCGAAACATGTCGTGTTTTTAAGATTTTAATGTATATTTGTATATTTTTATAAGAAAGTGTTGTATCAACAGATAAAATACTCAGTGTACATGGTACACAATAGGATGCAACACATAAGATTTAATTTTTTCCCCCTCTTAGTTTGTGCCTAAATATTTTGTTGAATGGATGTCTTAGTTCATTGTATGTAAACTGCAGTTTGTTCTTATTCTTATGCTAAAATATCATGATGATATTTTCCTGTGGATGAGATTCAGTCACTATTATCTTTAGTGCAGGGAAATGTTCAGAGATGACATATGCTTACATTAAATTTGCTTTGTACTCGAGACATTTCCCTGTGGATGAATTTCTGTTCTGTTTTAAGGTCAGTGGGGTGGTATATTTATTTCTTGAGAAGCCATGCTTTTTGTCCTTGTTTATTCATCATTGATTCTTTGCCAAAAACAACTGCAAGGGTGTATTAATTCTCGCATCATGTGTTACTGTTATAGATTCAAGTGCATCCCAGGAAAGCAATACAAGTGTGACACGGGGCTGCTACCTGGCAGGACAGTTCTACCCAGCTGGAAAGAGCTGGCATCCGTATTTGCCCCCCAGTGGATTTGAACTTTGTGCGGTCTGCACTTGTGATGTATGAATCACTTTTCTTGACTTTGCAGAGCTAGTTTCATATTTCCCAACCCAAATGATAGACTGTGTTGTCTATTAGTTGTATTTAAATTATGGTAGGCTAGGATTATTCAAGCAAGGCCAGTGATCTTGGATTATGGTTCATCAATTTTTGTGTCATATTCATCATTAAAGGGCAAGAAGTTAACACCACCACGTTACAGAATGGATGAGTCGTTCAGAATATGTCTGTATCATGGGATTCTATAATGTCAACCATGTTTTTCCATTGGTTCCATGTTAGTGTTCGTGTGGAATTTATTTCAGTCCACAGTTACAACAAAACACGCTTTTTCACCCAACAGAAATGATAATGTCACAAGTAATCCTCCTATATCACAGACACATGTTTGCAGGATAGCCTGTGGCCATGGATAAAACCTGCTACATCACTGATGAATGCACAATTGCAATCTCAGTATCATAACACATAATTGTTTCTTTAAGAAATAGTTTTAGCTGAAATTGTTTTTGTTTGCACCCCCATTTTGTGTTTTAAATTTTACATTTATCCCAAATTTTTGTATAGATTATGTTTTATGTTCTCCATAAGGGGAAAATTTTATAACACACATCTGTAACATGGGAAAACACTGTACTAATAATACTGTGAATTATAACCCATAAGAATTACAGCAACCTTAAGAGTCCCATCGTAGTTTTTCAGCACTGAAGCTCATATGGATCTGAATGAAACAGGCTATAGGGTGTTGATGAATATGCCTGGAAAATTAAGAGGCGGGCTGTTTGGAACATTGTAATGAATGCAGTGACTCTGAAGATTAGTATTTTATTGGGGTTGAGATAGCTGCAGCCTTAACTATGGAGAGTACATTTTTCTGGGGTATAATGCCATGTAGTTTGGTACCAGCATTTTAGAGGAACCTCATGCCTCCATCATCAGGATGAAAGACAACTTCCTTCTATTCTACAAATGAAAGCAGCATGTCCATCTAAAACAATAGTATATATCTATCAAACTTCTTGCATCACATCCCAGAAGATTGTAATCTTCATGGTAATGAACTTTCAGGTTCAATAAAAGACACGATTTACTTGGATGGCTTAGCGACTATCAGCTTCTAAAGAAGAACTCTGCTCCATGCAGCTACTTTATATATATATATATATATTTTTTATTATTATTATTATTTCTTGCCATGGGGTGAGACTGAGTCCACTTGGTATGTCAGCCACTAATTGGTCTATGATGGATGAGTATGGAGCATTTGGTGGAAGGAAAAGTGGCAGGGGAAACCAAATTACATGGAGAAAATGTCCCAGTGTCGCTGTCCACCACATATCCCACAAGACCTGACCTGGGATTTAACACATGCTACCAGGGGAGTTAATTTATGAAAACAAATTTTTTTGTCACTATGTGCTAGCATCTTTGCATTGATTACAGAAAAAGTGTTATTTTATACTACAGTAACTTAGATTTAAGGAGATGTGATTACATTTAATTGATTTTCATTCTTTATCATAGGCTAATACTCTGGAAGTGCAGTGTCCACGAGTGCAGTGCCCTCCTCTAACCTGCAATGAACATGAAGCCTTCAGACCAGATAAGAAAGCATGCTGTAAACAATGTCCCATAAAATCAGAAGATGGTAAGGTGCCAATGGATCAGCAGAGCCCTAATGGTACACTTACACATCGCACTGATGTGGATATCCTGGCAAGCGGAGGCTGCAACTATCCCGCTACAGGAGAAGTTTTTGAAAATGGTCATGAGTGGCACCCAAAAGTACATTCACATGGGGAAGTAAAATGTGTCTTATGCAGGTGCAAGGTGAGTTCATGTGAGATTCATCTATTCCTCACATTTCCAAAATTGTCAATTATTTGTTACTATTATTGAAATGTTACCTTTCCTTGCAGCTAACACTGTTATCACAACATTCCATACACAGTGTAGTGGCGCAAAAGTCGATCTTGAGATTTTGACACGTTTTCAGCCCCCCACAAAACTTCTAAGAGATAGAAGGCAATAGATCCTCACAGTCATTAATCTCGGTTTTCTAGACCGGAGCTGCTGTTTCCTTCAAATAGTTCCTCAGTCATCCTCACGAGGATATCCCGTTCCAGACCCACTATTTCTAAGAAAATCTGGTAACGCTAGGAATCGAACCTGGGGTCTCTGGATCTGTAGCCAGGAACTGTGACCACTAGACCACGGGCAGCCAAACACAGTAGGGATGTGATATGTACACAATAATAAATTGTTCAGTGTATTTGTACATGGTGTTGGATGTTTATACCTACCTTCCAAATTAATGGCTTCTCATTCCTGAGGCTCACAAACTTGATATTCACACTTGTGAAGACCTAAAATCTTAGTGAATTTTAGTATATTTCCACATCATCGATAACAGAGTAAGGAAGGTGATTTTCTTTATTTGTGATCGTTCATCCCATTTATACAGGAAATGATTGTAATTGCTAAGAGTCCATAATATCTACACCAGCTCACGTGATGAAACAAAACTATTTATTTATTTGTTTGTAGTTTACTTAATGTCACTATCAGTATTGAGCTTCAAATGAGTGGTCCATAATGTATTGAAAAGATGTGAGAGGAAGTGGTCGTGACCTGATTTAAGGTACTATTCTGAACTGGGCACATGAGGAACAAAGAGAATTTTGCAGGATATCTGGATATCAATGTTGCATCTGAATTTCAAGCTAATGTACATCCCAAATACAATTTGGAAATATTTTCACTTGAAATAACTTACTCAGTTGCTGATAATGGCTTAAAACTATATGAAGTGTATTCATAGAATGACTGTATTGATCAATGCGGTTCTAAAGATGAAAATTAAGGATAATGCATTTATGTCTTGATATACCTCCAAGCATTCAACTATTTGTGTGTTTGAAGTTCAGCCTCACAATTTAGTCCAGTTCACATTGTCATCTTCCAGTGTATCCATGAGCTTTCCCAATCAGAACTATCTATGCTTATTTTGCATGCTACATGCTCTTCCATCTCACTGTGACAATAATAAGTGATGAAATAAGGTGCGGAGTTCCTTGTTCTGTTTCCATACTGTCATGGTATCAATTAGTGTGGTAGGTAGATAATATTCAGAGAATCATATTACTTCCACCTTCAGGCATGAAATGAACCAAGTTAGGAAAAGCGGGTAGTTATACAGAAGAAACAGAAAATAAAAAAGAGGAGGGAAAATTTGGGATTTGGGGAAGAATAGGCAACCATTTCAGGAAAGGATGAAGGATGAGTAACATATTGACCCTTGCAGGACAGTTGTTGACTTTTTATGGACACCAATAATTTTTTTGGAATAAATAAAGAAAGAATATAGTGATGTGTCACTGAACTCACTTGTCAGTTAATGTGCTGTGTTATAATGTATTCTGCTGGAAAACAGTGGTGAGAAGGTGCACCTGTGACTGCCTATTTCTTCAGTGTACAGTCCACTAAGAACCTTGACCCTCTTTACAACAAAGGCCCATTCTTGTGTCCAGACTCCATGCTAGGTTTCTTTTGAGGTGGTGGTGTTAGCATCAAGCTTAAACCCCCCACACATGGAGGACCAGTGGATACCTTCTGTCTGACCGCTATCCTTCAACCTGTCTGGCATAGGTGACCCTACAAGGAGCTGTCAGCCCACTGGCTTAGCTTTCCTGTAATCTCCCCACCTCTGAAAGCAGCAGCACATCTAGGAAGCCTATGATTACTCTTGTGTTAAAAGTTTTGTGACTGTTCTTCTGTTATTGGTTTCAGGATGGTTCAATAAAGTGTGAACGCAAAAGATGTCTTCGATCATCCTGCACACCCAGTACAAGTTCATTTACTTCCTCACGAAGACGCAACATTTCGCAGTCCACAGTAACCACTGATGACTGCTGCCCTCAGTGTCGACGAAACAGGCGTCATCATCGATCTTCATACAACAGCTGAGCTGATTGTGCTATCTCGGACTTCAGAGTGTACTCAGACCTTAACCATACTTGCATCTGAAAATCGCTCAAACTGCAGCAAGGTCAGGAGTGTCAGGAGGATCGGCAGTATCGACATGTACATATTAAAATGTCAACGAGTTCATACACCAGCATAGCCATTTTTGGCGCCTGTGTTATACTGTGAATACTATATAATTGTAGTTATATATTTATAGCCCAGGGGTGGCTAAACTACACCCCATGGGCCGATTAAATCAGTTCAGCCCAAGACATTGTTTCGATATCATGAATAACATGGCCGTCTATTTTTACTCTCTCATAGCACGGAGAATGTATTGTAATGACAAGAAAATTGAAATGTTCATGGAAATTCAAATTTTTTTGGGATCCTAGTATATGTATGTACTATACTAGATATGAGGATGGAGAAATGGTGCTCACTCCAGACTGGTTTTAATCCAGGAGAAGACCAATTATTGCTCAGGATATCATGTCGGAATTAATCATTAGTGTCATTATTGTTATGTTGTATTTTGATGCATACAAATGACAGTCAGTACTGATAATGGAGCTATTTTAACTTTTTCAGGTATTGAATTCCTCTTGTAGGATCTTCTGTCTTACATTACTTTGATGCACAGGCCTGAGTGAAAATAATTACCAACACTACGATAGCATGAGTGCTGCCTATAATTCTGCATAAAGACTGAGTTCCTTGAAACCAGTCAGTCAGTGATGGATGAATATTCTGAAGATAACTGGCTTAAGAGGCTCTTTTGTTTACTGGAGAAGCTTTGTGTGGTACCTGTTTTCAAGGAATGGAGATCCTTGAAGTTGTTTAATACATATTTTATAGGAAACATGGACATAAGTTGTAATAACATCATTAATATTTATGAAATAACAGATGTATTTTAAGTGTATCCAATTATATTAACATACGAAGTAGGTAATATAATTTAGAAAGAAAATGGTGAGAAGCAAACGTATTACAAACGAAGTAACAGATGTTACATATCAGTTGTTTTGATATGACCAGCATGTTCTTGTGCTCATTTTTAGCCTGAATGTCAAATCGCTGGTTGAGACACTGTGCAAATCCCTGTCTGAACCAGTCTTGCCAAAGCATGAAAGTCAACTGTAATTAAGTTGTTATTGCAAGAAACGGCATATTAGTATGTATATATGAGTATTTAGTGCCTATTGGTTCCCCAGCTGGAGCATGACACTCTTCATGTTGAAAGTCAGACTTGAAGTTGTATCCTGTGGTAATGAACTTTGACAGTACTCCACAAAACCTTACAGAAACCAGCCATAATTGAAGGACTTGACCAAACAAATGCATACACAATTCACCTATGTTTATGTCATGTTAAATGATTGATATGTTGTGAGGGTAATCCCATTGTGTCATAAGTTTTAGAATAAATGACACAGGCTTTAAATTATTATCTTAATAAGATTTTCAGAATTCTGTTAGGAGTCTGCAGCTGTGACATCATTGTTGTTACCCAAAAGAACCAAAGAAGACTGAAATACAAATTCAGCTGATGATCAGGTGATTTGATTTCAGTGAATTTCAGTTGAGTATATATATTTATTTATATGTTGGTTATATTTTTCATTCCATACTAGCCTAAAGACTATTGAAGTTTTAAGCAGTAAATTCTTAAAAACAACTTCACCAAGAATACCTAAAACAAATACCTCAGAAATTTGTAGAGAAAGAACTACAGTTATACCAAGATGCTAAACTGACAGATTATGCATCAGTGTTACCATCACGCATTTCCACACACAATAAATTATACAACTTTTTCTGGTGATGCTTTCTCAGTACTGAGATTGTATAGCATCTGATAGCAGGATGACTGATGAATTGGAAAGTATTTGGAAGGAAACAGCCATGGCCTAATCAAGTTACTATCCAGACATATGCATGGAATAACTGAGTAAAACCACCACAAAACTTACACCAGATGGGTGCTGTCCGAGTCAAGATTTGAACTAAGCATCTTCCAGATACAGATTCTCAGTCTAACTTCTAGACAAACCAGTTCAGTAAAATACATGAAAGGTATATACTCACTGTGATCACAATCCTGAAGCATATCTTATTGAGGAAGGAAACTGACATGCCTCTCAAATCCATGCATTTAACAACAAAACTAACAATTCTCCTGTAATTGTATAAGGAGGAGAATTTGGGGGTGTTTATTTTTGTGTGTGCATGTCTGCGTGTACAAGTCACTCTTTGAGAGAAGAGTGCGAGGTGAACATTCGATTATTATGTATATGATTATGAATATTCATCTAGAACTCATGTATATCAGTGGTTTTGGTATTGCTTTCTCATTGCATCTCCCTCTCTGTCAAGTTCTCGCATAGTGTCCAAAATGTACAATCAGTCTTTTTATTGTTTGTGAATCACATCTATTGGTGATATCAAGTGACTCCCAAGCTCTTAATATGGTTTACATACAATTGTACATTTTTACCTATGATGCAATCATTGAAAAATTTTCCTTGTATTTAGAAAAATCATTCTGTAAGTGAACTGGGATTGCTCAGGTGGTATAGTGACTAGACTACAGACAGGTAACCATCAGTCAGGGTTCAGTTAATTCGAGATGCAAGATTTTCTTTTCTTCTCCAGTGATGATGATAAATTGAATCCATCATAAATATGTTTCACTATGTAGAAGCATGGATTTATAGGAGCAAATGGGATGTGAGCTGGAAAAGTGAGAATAGGTGTTCAGTTGTCAGCAGGGAAATAAATTATTCTCTTCTCCACAGCATCCAGTCTGGTTCTGGGACCCACCCAGCCTTCTGACCACTGGATGCCATTGGCTCCTTCCCCAGTAGTAAAGCAGCCAGAGTGTGAAGCTGACCTCTCACCTCTGATAAATACCAGGGTTAGGAATTGTGTGCACCTATATAGCACTGTGTTGCCTATTTAAGCACAGAAATTACCTTACCATTGCCATTAACTTGTGATATATGCTGCTTGATTGAAACAGAAAATTCTGTCAGATATTTATCATTATTGTTTTCATGTTTTGTGAAAATGTGACAAATTTGTGAAAAGCCCTGTTTAAATTTACCATTTCTGTGTAAATACCATGCAGATATTTTGAAAACATTTACAGGCTGTTTTTTTCTGATCTGAGGGTTTAAAATTTGTGTAACGTCTATGATATTGAACACAACTATATGGAACTTCCACAAATCATTCTAAAAATTTTGAATTCTTTTTTTGTTATGATTGACAATGCTGAGCTTAGTAACATGGTGACATCCTATATGATGGATCAGGAAGTTTGGAGGAACAGGCAGTGTGTGTGATAAATGTGCAAAGGGATGTGAACGTAGTACATCTGTTAATATGTAAGAAATTTTTGGCACAGCGTGGGTGGCAGTAACCAAGTCCAAGAAGAATCGCATGACATTTAGCAGAACAGATTGGGGTCTAAGCAGGCACTGCATGGAAGATCTGTTGTGTTACCATACAAAATGCAGCTGAGTCAGCCTGTGTCAGAAGATGGAATAGTGAGATGTTGCTTTTCCATGAGGGTGGACAGTCTGGGTGTCCCTTGTTTCTCCAGTGAAGCACACTTCTACATGGATGGTTACACAGCACATAGCAACAGAAGAGTGAGCAGGGAAAGAATCCCTAGAAGAGCAGAAGGTTTTGATAACATTTTTCTGATCCATCATATGTAACACCAACTGGTTACTTAGTTCAGTTTGGCCAATAGCAACAAACAAATTTCCCAAGTGTGTAGAAAAATCCATGAACATTTTGTATAGTATTGTTCAGTAATAAAAAGTTATACAAAGTTTAAGTATCAGATGATGAAAGAACATTCTGTGTATTACATTAAAAATTCACTGAGCATCTTTGAGGAGAGTTTGTATACTTTGGAGTACCAACGTTTTAAAAATAAGATCTAAAAGTATGAGATGATGGTATAGTAATACTGTTATTGTGTTTATGGACTTTTTATAAATAAAAACAGGACGATGAATAATGTCCAGAAACGCAGTAATTGTACTTTATACAAATCCCAGATACTATTTGACCAGAAATGTGGAAGATATCATGCCTTGTCAGTAAGTGAATGATTGCAAAGGGCACGTTACATGGGATATATGTATCTGCCACTATATAGCAGCTGTCATTAAATGATATTGTATGCACAATTTATGATGTGGCATGGGTAATTTATATTTTTGTTTCTAAATTTTGTATTTAAAAATGTAGGATCCACATTTTATTCAGGTAAATATGGTGATATACTCCTGAAATCAACTCTTAGTTTAATATGACTGTACAAAAATCCAATAAGGGAAACATTGCGTTGTAACACAGTTACTGCCATGGTCCCCTTCTTGGATTTTACACGCTGGGCTAGCCATTTTGTCCACAGTAATTGAATTTTAAACTTCAAAATGGAAGTGAAAGAGCAGAAACAACAACAATAATAATTTGTTGATTTGTGTGCTGAACTCAGAAGCCAGGGACCAATTACAAAGTTGGAATGGATACAAAGTTACACAAACAAACAAGGAAATAGATATAAACAAGCAAACAAGTTAAGTAAGTTGATGTTTTCAATGTTTAAACATAAATAGTTAACAATAATAACAATTCATTTTAGAGTGCTTGTCAACAAGAATGTCCTGAATGTAATTAATTAATTACAACAGGAACAGTGATAATAATAATTGCTACATTTTTCAACTCCTTCAAGATCTGATGAGCTACAGTTAAAGTTCCTTTATATTTCAGTGACAAAGCAGAATGTCATTCATACATACATAAGCTACAGCCCTTCATGTGACAGATTTGGCACTGGAATTTGGTAAACTTCAAACCAAGAAGTGACAGGATTGGCAGTGTGTTAATTTCACTGAGGTACTGTTCTTTGTGATGCATTATATAGGACAGGTACATTTGTCTCTGTACAACCTGACATGCAAGTTGAAGCGCTGAGTTGCTCAAAGTGAATTGTTTTCTGAATATAGTACTTTGTTCTGTACATTCACTACCAATCAAATTACCTGACAGGCTAAGGCTTATTTTGACCCTAATTTCAATCCCATCAAGAGACAGGCTGCTATCACTGGCACATAAATATCATTTTCTCCTGCTCAAAAGTCACCCAAATGCAGAGAAACCTTAAATGTGGCTTGCTAAAACTTGAAATAATAAATATGTACAATAATTGCCATATGTTTTTTGCTTGTTTTCTTCAATTTCCATTTTGAATGTAGTTAATTCATTTTTTCAAGGAAAAATGGCAGTCCAAATATGTAAAATCCAGGGGCGTAGGGTACATGGATGTGGTGGAAGCATTGCTTCCCTATAGAAAAGCAACCAAGAACATTTCTGGCAATTTTTCAATTTCAAAAAAATATTTCATACTTCAAAATATTAATTAATCTGAGAACATATATTACATATAATGAGAATATTGCAAGTTTTAATGTGTTACATAGACAATTTATCAGGATAGATCAGTTATTTTCTTCCAAAATGCAGGGAAATTTAAACTGCAACACCCGCGGAAGCAGCAGGTCTTTCGCTTCCACCCTCCCCTGGGTTAACTGGCTGACTCAATGTCAGTGTTGTGTGTAAGTGAGCTATGCGCTATGGTATGCTACCAGCTTCGTGCTTCCAGCAATGTTGTCAGATGTAAGGCACAGTTTGCAGTAGAATAATCTGTGACCTTGCAGTTAAGCGTGCTTACTAGAAATTCGCAGAACCAGGATAGGTTGTCATCACTGGCTTTGATGAACATTGAAAAGTCCTTCCTAAACAAACTGCAGTCCAAACCCATTTTTCTAGATGAGGTTATTGATCTGTTTGCCAAGAAAAACAGAAGAATCGAGCTGAATTATAAACAATAAAGTAAGCATTAATTATATTCCAGGTTCACAGCCCTCTCATTTGATGGCTATAAAATTGTGTTGATAATTATGTGTTATTTTAATATATTACCTTAAATTTAGAATACATATTAAACTATTAGCTGTTTTCTTTTAAATAGAAGATAGAAACTATAGGATATGTAGAAAAAATTTATATACACGTATATAAAGTTGCTTCCCTGCTTTCGGTAGTCATGCTACGCCACTGGTAAAATCCCAGTATGTGGGCATGGAATGAAGTTATACCAAATAACTGTGGTAATCATTCTGATAACTGTACATCTGACTTGCGATTATACAATTGTCAGTTTTGTAGCACAATGGATATGGTAGTCTTCAAATAAGACCAGATTCTCATTCAGAGATTTCTGAGTTTGATCAGATCTGTGTATGGATTTTTCTGCTCAGAAATTGAAACCTTTACCTTCACTGAAAAATTAAATTTTGTGACTCTGAAGAATCCCAGTCCCCTTCATGTTAAGCTGTTGATACCTCTGCCAACCATCAGTCTTGTAATGACATTGTCATTTTATGAAACTGGTAGAGCCGTAGTGGTGTCCATACCTGAGAAATAGGTTCACAGCTTTTGGTCAGATAAGGAGGAATATTGTCACTGGAGGCATCAGACAAACAACAATGGACATGTGTATAGTGATGTTTTTTTTCTGCCCTGCTTCTGCATACAGACTTTCTGTTATCAGTCAGAGAGTTACCAGACTTTTTTAAAATTAGATTCATGATTGCTAGATGATTTGAAAGATGAATTTTTTTTAATTTTATCAATGTTTATCTTTTATTGATGCTGCCAGGTTTCTCTGTATTATTAAGCTACATGCCTGTTTTATGTGGTTTGAAATTAAATTCTTAGCTTTCCTTGAAAAACCAGAATGCTATAGTGATATGGATGAGATAGACATTTTGTGGCATGGAGATTACTGTGTCCTGCCATATAGTCTGGTAGATGTCTTGAAATGTCTCTGAAAATGCAACATGTGAACCGGTGAACATCAGTAACATTCCAGAAGACAGTAATTGTCACAGTTACTTCTATGAGAACTGCAAATCTCACATTTTATGGCACGTTATGTCTTATTTCTAAATGATTTTTTGTGGTATGTCATATCATGTTTCGGAACACTGAAAAGAACAAATGAATAAAGGTCTTGTGGATGTGTGACAAAACTTGATAATCAGTTACTTAGTTGTAGTAAGGTGTTGACTTGAAGGTATGTAAAAGTTATTATAAAGGAAGGGAAGAAATGCTTATTTCAGATGTTCCCGTGCAGTGCCAGTAGGAAGTGCTTTTCCCCACTTGCTAATTGAATAATAGTGTGTCAATTTGAAACAAGAGATAGTTCAAATAAAAGCTGGAAATTGTGTACTGACAATCTTCTATACACAGAAATACACCAACATTGTATAGCAGCAGTGATAATGGCTGGTGTTCAAATGTAATGGCGCAGAAGTATACATTATTAAAAATACTGCATCTTCGTGAATAATACGATATTGTCTGTACCATCTCGCCTATCAACATTCTGTGTCAGAAGAATTTTTGTATTTTAAGTTACATTCTTGGTAATTTATGTGCAAAAAATCTCACTGTGAATCTCATTAACACAATTGTCAGTTTTGCTTATTTAATATCATTGCTGCACTTTTAGTTATATTCTAATTAATGCTGTTAGTGTTTCTAATTCATGAATATCTTTGGAGCACATTTTAGCATCAGTATGGTGCAATAGAGACTGTCAGTGTGGTGTGTCACATCTTCGGTTCATGCAGCTGCCAGGTCCAGTAACACGTCCTCCAAAGTGTATGAGAGGAAAAGAGTATAGAAATCATAATTGACATTTCCAATGCAAGAATCTGTAGAAAGGATGGGATATATTACTTCAAAGTAAGTTGGAAGAGTTACTGCTTAGTAGCAGTAAATAACAACCTGCTTTCTGTGTTGGATTTCAGGTTTTCATAGCTATGACTATGAAGGGTACAGTCATCTGATTTAATGCTGTGTAGTCTTTAGAGAACCTAACGCTTCAGACGAAATTGTTGCCTCCATCTTCAGGGTTGAAGAGTAAGCCCAGCCCAGCTTGCAATCTGCTTCTGCTGGTTTTTGATTGATCTACTCTTGAGCTCTGAAGATGGAGCTGATATGATTCCCTGAAATTTTGGGTTTTCTCCAGTCCACATGGCCTTACAGCTCATAAGACGTAACTGTTCGTTGGGTGCCATGATTTCGGAATTTATGTCCAAAAGTTGTTTAATATTTTGTAAATATTCATCTGAGTAAAATATATATTCATGTTTCATATTGCATAAATTTTTATATTATTATTTCAATATTGTAGACTAAAAGGGTAAGTTCAGAAGCCTGCCATATGTAGTGAACTATCATCTCAGTGTGCATCCAAAGCCTTCGTGGTGAAATGTGTTTGTGTCACACACGGTAAGAACAAAGTGTGAGTATGAAAAAATAACTGATTAATCATGTTAATTCTTTATGAATGTACTCATATGTGGGAGGAAGTACAAGAGCGTGGCATAAAGTCCATATAACAAAAATTTCCCAGTCATTTTTAATGTGGTCTCATGAAAAAGGTGTCAGGGAAATATATTTAGGTATAAGGACAATGGTGCTGAATAGAATATAATGCTTAGTAATGTGTAATTGGGTGGGGGGGATACTATCTAACTACACAGAGCAGAGGCATTTCTAGAGGCTGGTAGTCGTGCAGCTAGTCAAGACATATACCACGTTGTGTGAAATTTGAAAAGTTTGTATGGATAAAAAGAGTAAATATATTACATTTATGTTTATTCACTGTCACGGTCAGTAGAGACCAAAACGTATAGTGTGATTGATATAAAAAACTGTTTGACTTGTGTTCACTCGATTTCAGTCTTTTTATTATAGAAAAAACCCACAATGTTGTGTGACAGTAAAATAAACGCACAACGTAAAGTTGATTACCATGTTCATAGCAGCCCATCACTGGTCGATGTTCTGAGCCTGGGATAAATTTTGTAATAGGTGATAAAATGGCAGATATACAACAAGAGTGAAGTAATTTCAAATAACTTATGGCATATATAATGGCAGATGTGTATTTCTTCAGTTTACCGGTCTTTTAGCAACAATTGTGAAAGTTGTGTTTGTAAGTTCACCAAGTTTAAATGGTTATTATGTCTAATATATGAGATTATTGTGTAGTACCTGTAAAGTAACAATATATAAGTTTAGCAGAAATGTTTAAATAATATCAAGATTTCTATTATTGAAGTATCAACTTTTAATGTAATAAAATATATAAATTGTACTGCAACTCACTGTTTAAATGAGAGACACTAAGAGACTGTAAAGGTCTGTTCAATTTGCATCATGCTTGTATTCAACAGAAGAAGCAGAAAATTGTTTTTTTTAATTGATGTTAAAGTGTTGGTTTACACTTTGACCCTGCAGACCCTGAAGTCTCCTCAGTCTGTCTGCACAAGTCTTCATGGATTTATAAGGAGAACTACAACAGTCTCAATGAATTACACACTCCAAATATTACACATAAATAAAGACTTCTAATCATACATTAAGTCTTCACAGTCCAACTTCCAATTCTTCTGAGCTCCTAGTTCCATTGCACTCTGACTTAAAGCTCACCACTCTCCCCGTATAGCAGCGGAACAGACATGGACCTACTGTAAACATATATCACATGACTGTTATCCAGCCATTCTATTGGCACATCAGTCGGATCTACAGAAATCCGTGTGGATTTAACATGCGTAGACCTCAATAGATGTGACGCCATGTGCTCCGGTAGTTCACTGACGTTTCGGAGGAACGCACTGCTGTCATCTTCAGGGCCGAAGAGTAACTCCAGCAAGTAGAGTGTTCGGCACGGCCTTAGATCCTAGAAGATATTTCTCTTCATAAGTGTGTAAAGTTGGTGGTGCTGCTGATTATTATTATTCAGTATTTATCTCCGCAAGTCTGTGTTCATATTTGAAATGGCCGATTTCTGAAGATTTTCCATCCATAATTTGTATTATACTGTAGCATCCTGCTGCACTTCATTTAGTATCACGTGCAGCACATCTTTCTATAAAACTTACTAAATGTTATTCAAAGGCCGCGCCATAGCTCAAGCAGTTAGTCGCTGTCTTCCCACTGCGGCGGCCCGGGTTCGATCCCTGTCTGGTCAAGTGGGATTTGTGGTGGACAAAGTGGCGTTGGGGTGAGTTTTCTCTGAGTACTTCGGTTTCCCCTGCCAATCTTCATTTCACAAATTCTCCATCATAATCACCCGGGGCAGGTACAATAGGCCAATCAATGGCCGCCGTTCCAAGTGGACCCAACTGGACTCCACCCCCCACTACTTGAATTAGAAATCAGGAGAATGAATTCTAAAATGAAGTCTTTATAACAATTCTAGCATATTTGCTTATTTGTTTCATATTTCTATGCAACTCTTTGTTTGATACATTCTTTTGTTGGAATATATTATATGTAGCGTTCTGTATGGGTGTGAAACTTGGTCTCTGACATTAAGGGAAGAACATAGACTGGGGATGTTAGAGAACAGGTGCTGAGGAGAATATTTGGACCAAGGAGAGATGACTTGATTGGAGGTTGGAGAAAGCTACATAATGGGGAGCTTCATAACTTGTACTCTTCTTGAAGTATAATTAGAATGATCAAGTCAAGGAGGATGAGGTGGGCAGGGCATGTATCACGAATGGGGAGAAGAAGAATTCATATAGGATATTAGAAGGAAAGAGACCATGGGGAAGACCAAGAGATAGAATGAAGTGGTGTGGATTGGATTGATCTGGCTTAGGATAGGGACCAATGGAGGGCTCTTGTGAGCACAGTAATCAACTTTCAGGTTCCATAAAACGCTGGGATGTTTTTGAGTAGCTGCACAACTGGTGACTTCTCAAGAAGCGATCGGCTCCATGAGTGAATGATACGTAGTGTAGGTCTTCATATAAACTGTTACTGTTGTCCCATTTTAACCAAAATTGGACTGTACATAACAAAGTTTAGTAAAATTCCCATATATCAAAAGTGATGAAAATCCGTGTAGTGATTCTGAAGTTGTTATATGTGAATAAATGTAACAAAGTAATAGATACACTTTTGTTGTGATCACTCTTGGCACAGTCACTATATATGTTGGAACTCATGTATGTTATATAAATCACAGGTTGGTGTGTGGTCTCCTGGCATGCAGGAGTGCCTCCTGCAGCACCTTCAGTGTCAGATCCACCTTCTCAAGTGTTGCATTGTAGCCCATTAATCCAATACGTATTACTTTGCCCACAGTGGGACCTAGACCTCCAGAAATCTCCAGGCAATATCTGAAAGTTGTACAAAACATACTTCATACTTATCATACTTCACATAAGAAATCTTGCGCTCACTAAGGAAATACAAAAATTGAAAATAAAGTAGACCCCCAGAATCAGAAATCCTTGGTAATAAATAGAAATATGTAACTAACTAGTGAATTTCGATTTATAAAACATGTAATTGAGGGCTGTTAGTTAAAGCATGATTTTGGTTTATGTTTAACACTACCATTTCTGCACACTAGAAAGAGAAACCAAACAAAAACCTTCTTAAATTTCCAAGTACATATTCAAACACAAAATAAAACTCCCATCACTTTTTACTTATTCCATATTAAAAAGCAATTATTGGAGGTTTATCTTTTGACATTGTACACACCAGTTTTCTGAACAGAACTCCAATTTAATTAAGAGTGTGCTGTGTTTAAAAATGTAATAATGAGGAAATTAAATGAGCTTTAAGAATGCCAATGTAATTGGGTAACTGAAATAAAGAGACCAAGTTCATGTGCTTAAATAAACACCTCTCACGAAGACTAGAGAAAACAGAGGTATAGCTCCACACGTTGTTAGACTCAGTACTAGATGAGAGTGCCCTGACTCCTTTATGCTTGGGGAAATAGATCCTAGAACCCACTGCAGAGGAGGCTTGGGGCAGTCACCATAGCCAGTCATATTACATGATGAAGAAATCCTTAAATTGCCTTTTTGTACCCAGACCAATAGGTAGGACTGAAACTGGATGGGACACACCAGCTTTGTGTTGATGATGTTAGTTAATTGTGCCATGGCAGTTGAAAGGCAAGAATAATGGAGCCAGAAGAAATTGTTCGCTGCTAGGTGACATGCATGAGACAGTAGAAGGGCTGTTGAAGGCAGAGTTTTTAATGCAGCCTGTGCTGAGGGTCTAAAGTGAGGACCAACAGAGAAAGTCAGCCAACTTGTTTGCTGCATAGACCAAGGTGAAGCCAGACATAGAAAATATAAGAGCCTTAAACTTGGTAGTTGTCAAACTTGCAACTGTTCATGTGACTAAGCTGCCATTGTAGCATAAGATAAGTAAGACACATGATCTGCTTTGCAAAGCCTGGACTGACAGAGAGGACTTTTATGTAGTGCACAAGGAAGATGTTTCCATAACATGCCATGTGTGTGATATGTGCACTTTACAAAGACCAAGCATATTCATAAGAAACAAACTCATGTTCTCTTCGAAGACAATGTTACATAAGGACTATGACCACAAGGGTTCAGTTGTAAACAAAAAAGCTCTCTGGTTGTGATCCTCATGGGGCTTGGCACCAAGATGAATTGATTGGCAGTAAACCAATTGTAAAGAAATTCTGACTCTTATTCTGCAGTTAGCCAGACATGACAAGGAGTTGCAAGATGGTAGGCATGACATAAGCACAAGAGCAGAAGAGGCTCCATTGTTGTGAGCTGTTACTAAGCAACACCTGGCCACGCCATGGCTCAAGCGGTTAGTCACTGGTTTCCCACCGCAGCTGTCCGGGTTCGATCCCGGGTCTGGTCAAGTGGGATTTGTGGTGGACAAAGTGGCACTGGGGCAGGTTTTCTCTGAGTACTTCAGTTTCCCCTGCCAGTCTTCATTCCACCCATTGCTCCACAGTCACCCTCACCTATCATCTGGGGCTGGTGCAATAGGCCAGAAGTGGCCACAGTACAAGGGACTCAGTCCCACCCCACTAGCAAAAAAAAAAAGCAACGCCTGGTGAAAACAAAACTTTTATATGTGCTGCAGTACAGTGTGTAGATCCATGAAAATATTGTAGTTGCCTGTAGTATTCAGTAAGTCCAATTACGAATTCAAACCCCATATCTAGTCACAGAAGCGCTATTAGATGCTGTGGAGGAGTCTGGCACTAGAATAACAATAAAAATATATTGTTGTCCTGACACCAGAATGCAGGATAAAATCATAATTTAAAAAACTAATAGATCCTTTGAAAATGTGGCAAAGTTCAGATATTTAGGAATCATGGTTACAAACTGAATTTACATTCATGACTAAATTGAAAGCAGTGCTTACTGCCATTCAGTTCAGAATCTTTTGTCTTCTTATCTGCTGTCTAATCATAAAGATCAAATATACAATTTTGACTCTAGTTTTGTATGGGTGTGAAATATTGTCTCTGATATAACAGGAAGAATACAGACTGAAGAGAATATTTGACCCAAGCAGGGATGAAATAATAGGAGGCTGAGCAAAATTATATAGCAAGGACCTTCATTGCTTGCATCCTCACCAAACATGATCAAGTAAAGGAAGGGCAGGACATGTATCATGCATGGGAGAGAGCAGAGGTATGGGATTCATAGAACTTTCAGTATAAGCTCCTGATGATAAATTTAAGGGATGACCATTGTGTTGTTGCAGAGATGGTTCATGCTGACATGCACATATAGACAGACATGCAAAGACTGCATAAAAAGCTTACGTTTTCATAGCATATTTTTGGATAACTCTCCAGTCAAGGCCCCTTGGCACTTTAATTGTTGTTACAGTAGGCAGCCTTGCTTCTTCCTTCTCTACAAAGAATTCTAATCCAAGTTTCTCCAAACCATTATGTAGTCTTTTAGCACACATTTGATGACGAGCAATACATTTGTTTATTCCCTCCTCAACAAAAATAGCTAGAGCTTCTCGTAAGCCATACAAAAGACTGACTGGAATTGTGTGATGGTACCTGTTGAAGATAAAATATGAATCCATATTAAATAATATATTTTAGGTAACCAACATCAGAAACTTGTGTTTCTTTCCAAAGCATGGTGCAGTTATAAATATTCACAATTTTAATTCTCACAATCTATGATTATGTCAACAAAAGAAGGAACTATTGCAAATCACGTTTATAAGTGTCTGATAGTAAAGAAATCATCCTGTCTGCTTGCTGTCCTCTAATACTTACACTCTAGGCTTTCCGAAGCAGGCCCAGTAGTCACCAAGAATCTTCATATCCCAATAGAACACTGGCACAGGGATTGTACGAGATTCAATTTTAGCTCTATAATGTAAAAAATGAAAATATCTATATTGTATACAAATTACATATGTGTAGGTTTCATGTTCTTTCCTCATCCAACACATACACTACTCATATTGTCTATTCATGCCATCAGTTTCACATCTATTGCTCTCCCATTAACCTATCAACTGTTCCAGTACATACAGCAGTTAGAATATCCGCTAGATTAAACCAGTTCCCACATGGGGAAGGACCTTTGGCCACTATGAAACATGTATTATCCCCTTTAAAGTCCTTTTAAGCTGAAGGTAAGAAATATGGAAAATTGGAGCATACTGCCTCCTGGAATGTGATGTGATGCCTTGCCTGTAAGGGCTTTGCTTGCCACCCACATCTTGCTGGCAAGATGCTCCTTGACCTTGAAGATAGAAGCAATATGTTTGTCTAAATTAATATCAGAGGACTTCTACTAGGCCTGTTAGACTGCAGTCATTTGAACTGTAGCAATGTGCAGTGCTGTATGTGGATATGAACATTGCAGAGGAACACACTGACTCCACATTATGTGTCAACCCAGAAGATGCAGGCAACATGTTCCTGTAAAATATTATTTTTCACCCATCATGGTACATGAAGTCTGAACATTCACTGCTGTAAGAACTTGAAAAGTTTAAAATATCTTTCACCTAATATAGATCTGTTAACATGTGACCTTACATTGCTCGAGGACTGAAGGATATGGGAGCTAGTCCTGGAGGAGCCCCAAGAACTTTCTGTGATCCTGTGTAAAGGACGTCAATCTCCCATTCATCCATGTAGACAGGTACTCCACCAAGAGAAGCCACAGCATCCACAACCAGCAAACAGTTATACCTGTAAAACAAGACTACTTAATTTTCGGAAGATTAAACAGATATACTCTGTTAATAAGTTAGTTAATATGTAATGTGTTAGCATGTTCACATTCAAGTTGCTGGTAAATCATGATTCATTTTTATGTATCTGATAATATTATGTCATAGCATTCTGTTGTGTTTCGTTGAATAGGAATCAGAACTGACCAAAGCTCTACATACACAACACCAACACCAACAACAAAACTGGCATTTTGCATATGTACAATATAGCATATATCATATTTATTAGAATTGTGTGAAATGATAAATATTGTAAGAAATAATACTTGTGACACAGTAGGCCCAGTTGTTCTATCGGCTGATGGACGCCAGTTGATGACTCCCCCTGTGTTATGAAAAACAGAACAGGCCTGTGTTGTGATAATCCTGCCTCGATGGCCTTCATGCAGAAGTATTCACCAGCTGGTATGTTTATTGTTCTAACATCAGCTCCTGTTTGCATAAAAAGAACCAAAAAAATAATTACTTATCCTGAAGATATATAGGATGTTAAAAAGAGGGTTACAGGATTTTAGGGGATATGGTACTCATGTAAATGAGCAAAAATATACCAGAAGTCCAGAAGTAAATGCCTGCTGAGATATGTCAAATGTTCGTGTGATCTCTATAGCAGATTATCTATGTGGTTCCCATGTATTTCAACACAACTTTCAGCTCTTCATTGTACATAGGGTTTGAAAATTTGTTAAAAATTCTTGGATTCACTCAAGTCTTCTGACAGGCATTTCCATCTTGTTGCTGTAATATGCCTAAGTCATTTATAATGATGATGAATGAGCATCTGTCATAAAGGAAATCAAAGATCTTGGAAGACTGCAAAGTGAAGGAGTAAGTAAATAATTGGCAGAAGAAAATCTGAGATGATTTTCTATGACCTCTATGACCTCTGTAGTCTAGTGGTCAGAGTTCCTGGCTACAGTTCCAGAGGTCCGAGTTCGATTCCCGGTGCTACCAGATTTTCTGAGAAGTAGTGGGTCTGGAACAGGTTCCACTCAGCCTTGTGAGGATAACTGAGGAACTATTTCAAGGAAATAGTGGCTCCNTCTAGAAAACCGAAATTAACAACAGTGGGGATCCATTGCGCTGACCACACGACACACTCTATCCACTAAAGTTGGCTAACTTCGCTGACAAACAGCGGTCGCTCGGTCAGTATAGTTCACTTGCGGACTACAGGCCATGAAGTTTTTTTTTTTCTTTTAATGGAAATGAAAACTTAAGGGAGCAGTTAACTACACTTGTGAGTATAGGAATTCAATTAAGAGAAAGGAATTGCTTGGAAGATATGTTTCTGTCTAAAATTTTTAAATTTTAGAGTAAGTGGGCACATTTCTGAAACTTGTTGACTTCAGATTACCAGCTAATGACATTCTTACATTCCTTTGCACATGAATTTAACTGGTGGGAGTAAGGATACTTAGGAACCTTGTGCAAGGTTCTTGAGTATGTTTTTCTAAAGCTGGTATATACATAATTTTCAGAAGTTTTGCATGAAACCTTTATTTCAGTAATATAGATTATGGGCTTAGAATTATTGTTGTTATCGTTGTTAAATTCTTTTTCTTGTTCAGCTGCTGATGATGATTATTACTATCCTCTTATTTTCCCCCTCCTCATCTTCCTTTTTCTTCTTTACCTTCTCCTCTTTCCCTCCCCCTTCTCCTTTTACCTTATTTATAGTATTATTATTATTATTATTATTATTATCATCATCATCATCGTCGTCGTCATCGTGAAGTATGGTACATCCTTTAACTGTTCTGGAAATGTCACTTAAGTTACCTGTATTACATTTAGATACTGTTTCTTTAACACACAGGCTGCACTTTCATACAGCACAGTAGATACAGTAATTACTGTATTCTGTAAAGTTATAATTCTGTTTCTTTAGAAATTTTGCTGGAATAATGAAATATTGGTTGCTCACACTAAATATATTATCTTGATGTTCTGAAAAACTGTCACATTTTTACTCGGGAACAAGAATCCACAGAAACTTCAAAAGCTAACCAAAGAAATAAAATATCTACTGATATGTAACTAATTTCATATATGGGGCATGCAACAGATCAGGAAATCCAGTGATACATATCTGTGTTAGATCTGTGAATATCTATATTACTACACAAATTCCTATTACAGGTATAATGGAGGTGAATTCACGTCACCTTAGCATACCATATCGCTGGGCCATGTTAGCAGCTCTTTGGCCCCAGATGCCATGGACAGCTATAAGGACAGTATTTCCTGATTCAATAAGGTTAGACATGGATGCTTCCATTCCCCCATGTCCAGATGTACTAACAGCCAGAGTGAGAGCATTCTTGGTCTGGAAAGCATACTGTATCCCTGCTTTCACTTCGTCCATGATCTGTAAACCACATTTAGACATACACTACTACTTGAACCGGGGTGCACGATAGCGTAATTGGTTGAGGAACTGTGGGTTTGATTCCCGATGAAATTATTGGATTTCTTTTTCCAATTTACCTACTATTTCCAGCTGCACTATGGCCCTGGAGCCGACTTAGCCTCCAGCAGAAATGAGTACCAAGAACCTTCCTGGGAGGTATAGGGCTGCCGGTATGTAAGGCTAGCAACCTCACCGCCATCTATGAGCCGATTGTTTAAAAAATGTGGGAGCCTCGACGTCTCACAACTTTATGGGTCTCCATGGCCCATTGCAGTCTGAGCATTGAGGACCCAAACGAGAAATTTTGTTTTTCTGAAACCGACTTTACCAGTCAGACAAATTTCATTATCTGGTTTCGACAAAATCGAGATTGCGCTTGGGCTCCAAGTTCGGGTACCGTTGTTTCCCAGATGACGCCACATAAGCAGTTTTAGTCAGCGACCTCTTCATAAGTTACAATCACGATACTCCCTCGTGTACATTACATATATGAGATAGTAACAAGAAGTTCTGAGAAGAACTAATAATCTACATTCTTTGATACGACATGGACGATACAGAAGATGACGCGTCCTACGATTCTTCGAATGTTGCTTTTGTTTTGGTTGCTGCGATAACGTTTTTACTGAGCCGTTGCCTAGCAACGATGGGGATATATATATATATATATATATATATATATATGGGAGGGATTTATGAAGTGCATCGTTGATATGGGCTCATGTGCCATGATATACATACCAAGTTTCATAAAGATTGGTTCAGGCGTTCTAAACTTAACGCAGGGATTCACAGACACACAGACAGAATGGTGTTATTTTTTCAAAATAATGGAAGTAGGCTAAAAATCACTTACTAGAAGTTAAATTTTCGTACATAGCTTTAGCCGAGCAAGTTGGTGTAAGAGGCAATACTTAGGACTTCAATTCGTGAAGAAAGTAAGTAAAATTTTCCACTTAACAGGCCGTGGAGGTCCATAGGGTTGTGACATGTCGAGGCTCCTATATTTTCTAGACAATCAGCTCACAGATGGCGGTAAGGTTGTCAGCCTTACGCTACGGCCGCCCCCAGGAATATTCCTGGTACGCATTTCTGTTAGAGGCTGAGTCGACCCCAGGGCCATAGTGCTCCTGGAAGGATTAGGTCAATTGAAAAAATCTACCTCATCGGGATTCGATCCCGCTACCTTCCGGCTTGTAGCATAGTGCTTCAACCAACTACCAACCAACCGCGTGCCCCCTCAATTCGAGAAGTACCTGGTTCTAATCGCTGCCCGCAAGTACCCCTTTTGATTTCGACAACTTTCTAGCAAGGCCTTTCAGATTCTTGTTACAGTCCTTGTCATTCTACGCTATATGCTTGTATGGTCTGAGGTACCAAAGCGTCGTTAAATGAACTACAAACACCTCTCCCTCTAAGCCGAGGGTACAAGTTTACAAGCCATGGTGTCTTCTGAGAAACAGTTGGGTTGGCTTTGGCAACCCGGGAAGGGGTGAGATATAGCGATTTTCGAAGAAGAAAAAAAAAATCCATAACATATTGAAATTATAAGCTCACAAAAGTAACAAAAAATATTACGGATTATCCCAAACAAACAAAAGCCCCCAAAAAAAAAAAAAAAAAACTATGGTTTATTTTTCCAATTTTTCTTTTTAATAATTCAACTTGTCTATATGCTAAACCACTAAGATTGCGCGGGAGACTCAGACTCGTGTGTGGGAGTGCGACAGCCGCTGCGCGCGCAGCTTAGGGGAAGCATTGACTACAGATAATAAATAATTACACATATCTATACATCTACTGTTCTGTTCACATGGATTCTTGCCCATTCATCTCCGGAATATCTTTCTCTATGTAAATTTAGTCAGAGACCTGCTGTTTTCATGACGTCACAATAAAGACAGGCACTGCCAATTACCGAGCAACACTCAGGATGCAGGTGGCCCAGCACCGGTAAGCTCATGGCGTGAAGTACCCTCGGTGGACAGTTGGACGGTCCAGGACCCATCAGTAGCTTCTGAGGTACGAAGAGTGGCTTCAGCAGAGTTGCCGGACGATCCACTTGAATATGCATTGCCCTTTCTGTGGAAACAAGGAACGGTACTACTTGCAGCACGAACGTAAACTTCTGGGCTCAGAAACATACACTGAACTGTCCTTTACAGTTATCTGCGCCTTATCAGTGAACTTCGAACTAACGTTATGCATAAATAACCTCTGTGTAATTCCATTTACGAGGGAGTCAGTAAATAGGCCACAAATGCAAGTAATACAGCTGTAATGCAAGTAGTAGGTTTTCTTAAACGTCTATGTATTAAATCCAAGTCCACGTCACATTGCGACTGACGGTCCGTCAGTCTGTCTGTCTTGGTGTCGAGCCCCGGCTGAGGATCATGACCAGATTTTTTTTTTTTTCTTATATGAAAGTTACTGTCCTGTCCACTTGGGGCGCCTTCTCTAACGAGAGGTCGGGACTGTCATTTGTCAGTCATAGTCTGTGTTAGTAAGTCCATTGTCAGTATTTACATATATTTACAAATTTAATCTTAATTCCTATTTCTATGTACTATATATATATATACAAGGCCTCTGTCAATCCAGGCTCAGTACAGCAGATTTTGCCCTATTTCCAGTATTATTCGCTACCACGGCAGTCTAGTCACTTGAACGGTCGTATGCCTGACCGCCGCCAAGTTTAAGCCTCTTATACTTTCTGTGGCGGGCTTCGCCTTGTCCGATGTTGCGAACATTCGCATTTTCATGATTTTGTATGACTTCTGCTTGTTTCCTGCATAATTTTGTTATATAGTGATATACGTACGGGATTTTAAATGCCATGTGCAAATCGCGGACCGGTGTGCCCCTTGGAGAATTGCCAACCGTGGGGAGAACCTTGTTTTGCAGGCGCTGCAATTTCAGTAGATGAGTGTCTGCCGCGAATTACCAGGCGGGATTAGCATAATTCATTACGGATCTAATAAGAGCTTTGTGGAGGGTCATTTTAAAGTTAGCGCTGAATCGCTCACTTCTGAATATGGAATATACTCTAATGAATGTTCTGAAGGCATTGGGTTCGATCATTTCTATGTGCAATCTCTATGTAACTCTCTTGTCGACGATTACACCTAGATATTTTGCACTATTTACAAATGGAATATTTCGTCCATTTAGAGTGAGACAAGACTCAGGCGGTCGACGACTACGAGAGAAGTAGACCCCCTGAGTCTTATCTTCATTAATTTTAATATTCCAGCGCTCACACCAGGTCTCCATTGAGCTGAGAACGCGCTAGAGCTTTTCTAACAATGAAACCCTCCTTGCGATCTGTCGCATACAGACAGGTGTCGTCCGCAAAGAGGACCATTTGAACATCATGTGTTTTGGGGGCATCATTTATGTACAAATTGAAAAGGGTAGGGGAAAGGACTGAACCTTGTGGCACCCCTGCTTGCATTTCCCTTGAGGTTGATATTTGGCCTTCAACCGAAACCCTGAATTTATGGTGAGAAAGAAATGACCCAATAAATTTGATCAAACTGTTCGAGAATTCCAATTTTGATAACTTATACAGCAAAGCCTGAGTGCCACGCGGTATCAAAGGCTTTTTCGATGTCCAAGAGCACCGCGGCCGTAGACATTTTGTTGTTGAAATTAAGGGTCACATGGTCCGCCAGCCTCATACATTGCAATGTCGTGCTGTGACATGGTCCGTTAATAATGCAGCAATCATTAAAATATTAAAAACTTAACACTAATACAACATATTTCGGCCACAGACTGCCATCCTCAGGTGTTTCAATGCGTTCAAATTGTTATACTGTTTTGATGCGCGCTATAATTGCGCGTTGCAGTCCACTAAAAGTAACATATATAATTACTTAAAATTCAATAAATTTTCTATTAAAATCTTCGGTGAAGTCCTATTCCACTTCGCAAGGGCCGTCGTACACTTGCTTAAAGCTATGTGATATTGCAGAGAGTTTGGTTCGGCAGCTTGATCCTCAGTTCCATTAGCCCGTCTGCTGTCTGCAATATGCCCCTTGCTTGTGTGTTGTCCCCTCTAGCGGCGTGTGGTGTTGTCTGCACTAGACAAGACGATGGACAATGTCCAGCAAACCTAATATTTGTACCAATGTACAATCGCCACAAACTTTTGGACCTTATTCCTTACGTAACATCTCTGACGAGAGAATGGGCTTTCTTTTAGGAACAGACTTCGCCTTTGTCAAGTGCACTTATCACATATATTTTTTAATTTTTTTTTAATTCGCTTAGTGGGGGTGGAGTCCAACTGGGTCCACTTGGCACGGCGGCCACTGATTGGCCCAACGCCACTTTGTCCACCACAAATCCCACTTGACCAGACCCGGGCTCGAACCCGGGCCGCCGCGGTGGGAAGCCAGCGATCCCAGTGAACTAACCGCTTGAGCTATGGCGCGGCCTACATATCGCGCATATAGCATAGGTCTACATGAGAATGGGAAGCAATCAGTTCGGCAAAGGAGATAATTTGGAATGAAGAACCTCTCATTGGGTTTGAGATGTGTCTCTGAGAGCAAAGTTCAATCTATAAGTAAGTCTTGCAGCTGTTTACTGAGTTCATAGCGCAGCCTCCAAATGTCATTTGCGTTAAATGCTATGACTTTGAGCGGCTAATCCGTGTCTAACTAACTTGCTCTACTTATAACGTCTCGGCATGGACCGAGCAGAAAACACCGATTCCATCATTTCTGTATTCATTTGTTTCCGTGGAAACAAACTTATTTGCAGAGCCGTTGCTTAGCAACGGCTGTTGTATAGTTCCTTATTTGCCGTCGTTCCCTAGCAATGGTTCTACATGCCACACTATTGTAACCCGAGATTGTGCCAAATAGAGGACACCGCTCCCACCAATTTATCTATTGTTGTGTGCATAATCGTTCCCACGGAAACTTGCATTAAGAATCCATTTCCTAGTAACGGACGCCTCTGCGACGCTTCTGTAATTCTGATACGCTTTTAGGCGTCATGTCACAGTATAAAAAAATACAACATTTCACGTGAAAATCAAATCGAGCTTTATGATCATACAAGAGTGGAAATATGCAATCCCAACTTGAGTTCCAACACTTTCCAAGCGAGTTTCTCGTTATATTGTGAATTACACTAACTGCTCATATAAATTTATTTTCTCCAAAAACTGGCAGACCCATCTTCTCGTCAGAAAGGATGTTGCAGACGGACTATGAGAACAAGGGTTCGGTTAAAAAGAAAAAACTCTGGTCGTCGGTTTCAAGGGGCTTGACGCAAAGACGTACTGATTGGCGGTAAACCGCCAGTCGTAAAGTAACTCTGACTTTGTGATACTGATTGAGTCTGCCAGAAGAGCGAGAAAAACGAACCGGAGTGACTTAGTGAAGACCGTTATCAAGCAACGACTGTAACAGACTGAGACCGCGTGTACTATGAGTATAATCACTGGGAGGAGAATAAGAGAAGGTGAGCTGTTGCAGTTACTGAGAGTTCGTGAACAAAACTAACAGCGCCGTAAACTTCAGTGTACACCAAGATGGCGGACGTTCATTACCGGTATTCTGGAAATACTGAACATAGAAGCAGCATCGCTGAAATCAGCATGTCATGCCATCGCACCCAGAAGAAACGCCTGTAGTGCAACAAGTACGTATACTACTGTATAAAGTACTCAGTGACGAGATCCTTGTCGGACGTACACAGGACAAAGTTGGGAAGGCTCCGAGTGGATCGCTATTGTGAATAGCGTGGAGGATAACAACGTGACCGTCTTCTCCTTGGACGTCCAGTGTCCCGTCTTCTAGTAGGGTGATGAAAATATGCTTGTCACGCCAAGCGTTGAGGCGGAATCATTCCTTCATGATTACGCCATTTTGTTTCTTATTCATTCATCTCTCCCTCCATTCGCACCGATCCTGATTTCTTAGAGATATCTCTGGCAGTGGTGGCAGAAACCTCATTCCAGCTGCAACTGCTCTCCTCGCATGCACGTTCCTCTGACGTACTGTAGGGCTGGTTGCGCAGTAACATTCTGGTTGTTGCTAAATGAAAGCTGTTCTTGTATTCATATCGTGGCCATTTATTGGCACTAGTCTAAACATGTTACAAAACAATGGAAATTTAACTGTAAATTCACAGCGTAAGGTTACAAAAATTTCATATGAGCTTCACCATGTTTGTGTCCGTTCGTCAGTCTGTCCTCATGTAACAACTCGAAAATTGCTGGATGGATTTCTACTCGTATGAAATCTGATTTTGGGAACTTACGCAAACATCTGTCGACATATTGTATTTTTATATGATTAGAGTTTCTCACAGCTGTGGTTATGAAGTTTCCTATCTTCTGGATATAACGCTGTGTAGTCTGGTTACATGGCGTTGTATCCCAGATAATAGAGTACTTTTTGTGGTTTATTCAACGAAGTTGTCAGTATAAAATGTATAGTGTAAAATAGTAGGATAAAAGCTGAATAGCAAAGGGTTTGCAAGGAAGCGGTCCTGGCTTAATCCAGGCACTAACTCCAAATTTTTCTGGAGAGACTGAGGGAAACCACAAAAACCCCCTTACTCAGGATAGCCGGTATCCCGGCCAAGATTCGAACCCAGCCCCTCATGAATACGGGTCTAGAACATGGTTACGCCACCAGTTTGTTTGGTTAGGAGGATGGAAATATGAAGTCACTCTGGTCTTAATTAAGCATGATGTCATCAAGACGTATGGGAGAGTGAAGATATATCCCCACCATTCTTAACGTCGGCAATAAGTGAAGTAAATGGTCACCTTCACGCCCCGGCCGCCTTAAGAGAAAGGCAAGTTGAAAATGGCGCAGAGTTTTCTGCAATGCTCTCTCGAAATGACACACTTCGGTAATTTTACTGAGAAGAAGGATCCAGTAGAAAAATAAGTTACTTTTTCAAGTAAAAGAAAATAAAAAAAACTACCCCTGTAAGAAGCCGTGGAGGCCCATAGAGTCGAGGCTCCCACATTTTCTAGACAATCGGTTCACAGATGGCGGTGACATTGTCAGGCTTACGCGCCGACCATCCTTTACCTTCAGGAATATTTCAGGTACTCATTTCTGTCAAAGACTGAATTGACCCCAGGGCTATTTCGCATAGTGGGGGTGGAGTCCAGTTGGGTCCACTCGGCACGTCTGCCACTGATTGGCCTATTGTACCTGCCCCGGGTGATTATGATGATGGAGAATTTAGTGGAATGAAGATTGGCAGGGGAAACCGAAGTACTCGGAGAAAACCTACCCCAGCGCCACTTTGTCCATCACAAATACCACTTGACCAGACCCGGGATTGAACCCGGGCCGCCGCGGTGGAAAGCCAGCGACTAACCGCTTGAGCTATGGCGCGGCCTTGACCACAGGGCCATAGTGCGGCTAGAAGAATTAGGTCAAATGAAAAACCCAATAACCTCATCGGGAATCGAACCTGCGACCTTTCGGCTTGAAGATTAGTGCTTCAAACAACTACCCAACCGCGTGCCTTTTTCAAGAAAAGCATGTTTGTCTTTATCTTTTTTCTTATACGGCGCAAGAATTAATTGGGTGCAAGATGCTAGAAATTCAGTGCAATAGTAATGCCGTAGAAGTAAGATTTTAGTTCTTACTGTTCTTTTGTGACATGACGTTTGTTGCTGACAGAGAAGAAATTTCGATATCGGAATGCTGTAATTTCTGGATTGAATTTTTGAAGGGAGACGGTCTTCTCATATATTTCTCCCAAATATTACGTCGCAGAGGATGATAAGCAGAAGAATAAACGGTGATTGTGAAAAGCAAAACAGTGCCGAACAATAAGAGCCCTTGAATAGCACACGCGTCTACGATTTACTAACTTCATTTGTTTTCAGTTTGAAATACAGGACTATATATATATGTGTGATATTCACTTGACATGTATACAGAACAAGAATATTTAACTGATTACGTTTCGTGAGAAAGGTAAACTTCTGAAAGAAAATATGGTACACGCATCTTGAATTCATTCTTGGCGCAGGAATGTTCTGTGATACTATTGGTAAGCTTAAGTTGACTTGTCCAATCAACAGTGGATCTTACCCCACTTCTACGATTTCAAGATGGCAACCTGTTGCTTTAGTCTGTGCAGTCGATGTCCAGTATAGAGTGATGCCAGTGTGTTGACGTTTTGCGGAAATAGCTGAGCTTGTGTTTATAAGAAGAAATGTTTGTTCTTGGTTTCTGTGGGATAACAGTGCAAAATTAATGCTATTGGATACAGTGACTTGGTGAATTGTGTTCAAAGGCTTATGGGAAGAAGGCGCGTGGATAAAGTTTGCCGACAAACAGACAATAGGGCAATTGATGTTTGTTATTAGTGGAACTTTTGGGCAATGTTACGATATTGCCATTTTATCTTCATGTCATCGGTGGTAAGTAAGCACTTGCATTGTTTTCAACCAGTAACGATTCCGGAACGGAAGAATTGGTAAAAACAACAAAGTGAGGTATTTAAATCTCATAGTGCCTCCTGCAGACCATACGCATTATAGTGCAAGATATATTTTCGAAGCAGAATGTTTCGAATGCACAGCATCCTTGTAATAGGTACAGTGCCAAATTATATCGTATGGGACACGTCAGTTTTAGGAAAGCAAATATTTTATGTAATCAATATGAGGTTAAGTGTGTGTATTATTTTCTAAAAAGTTTTGTGTTCTAATCAGATGTAACGAGAGCAATAGTGTTTCCCATATTAATTAAATATTCTTATTCGCGGCAAGTTTGAGGCAGAGTGCCAATGCCACAAGCTTTAACTTTGATGGATTTTGATGAACGTTTTGCAATGGCAAGCTACATTTTGCTGTTTGATCAATTTGCAGTAGTTTTAGTATAGTAATGTACGGATTTTTGCCTTCCCTTAATACAGGAGTTCGATTTCCGAATTAATGCTGCGAATACCATGCTTAAGCCGCGTTGTGATCGTTGTGTTGGATTCAGTTCCAGCATGTGGACACTCTCACATAATACAGTTTCTTAAAGTATAATTAGCATGACCGTTATGCTGTTTGATGTAATATATGTAACATTATAGGAACCCAAGATCGTGATCTTTCATGACAAACCTTTTTTCAGGGGCACTGAATCATGAAGGAGCTTAAATAAGTTTTCATTGTAGTGTAATTAAAACTGAATAATGAGGGGTTCCATAACTTGTACTCTTCGCCAAATCAAGTAAAGGAGGTTAAGATGGGCAGGACATGTAGCACGAATGGGTACAAAGCGGAATGCATATGGGATATTGGTGGGAAAGCCAGAAAGAAAGAGACCACTAGGAAGACCAAGACATAGGTGGGTGGGTAATATTCAAATGGTTCTTAGATGGGATGGTGTGGTATGAACTGGACTGTCTCAGGGTAGGGACCAATAAAGGGCTCTTGTGAACACAGTATTGAACCTTCGGGTTCCTTAAAATGCTGGGAAATTCTTGAATAGCTGCAAAACTGGCAGCTTCTCAGGAAAGGCTTAGCTCCATGCCGTTAGCTAGTAGTGTAATTATAGATTTTGAAGCAGAATATTGGATCTGAACTAGTGAATTTGATTGATTGTGTGTTGAATTATTTTTGTCATATATGTAATGGCCTGAGTTTACAGCATTTTCATATTTATGACAACTAGGGTCAATAGTGACCATAATACAATCTGTACACAGTACGATCATTTATTTTCATAATTACAATTTCATCATTTTCTGCAGTTTCTGTTACAGTTTGGTGGTTGTTTGGGATTGTTCCCCACTTGCACACTACATTCACATATTTGTTCACAACATGTTTGGCCTCACACAACCATCATCAGATGTAGTATTTACTGTATGACATTAGTTGTAGAATTTGAGGTTTCCATGGCAGTGATTATGAAGAGTTGTGTCTTCTGGGATGTAGTGCTGTGTAGTCTGTTGAAGTCAACTGATGTTTTTGAGGAATATATCATCTCCATCTTCATGGCTGAAGAATAAGCCAGCAAGAAATCAGCAAGCTTTGTTTGTTGCCTGCTTCATGTTCATTTCTTGCATGGCTTACTCTTCAACCCTGAAGATGGAGGCGATATATTCCTCTGAAACGTCTAGTGCCTTTCAGTGGACTACAAGCAAAAAAAAGAAAGTAAATCTATCACTGTACCAGGCTGTGAAGGCCCATAGGGTTGTGAAACGTTGAGGGTCCCACATTATCCAGACAATCGGCTCAAAAATGGTGGTAAGGTTCTCAGCCTTACACGTCGGCAACACTTTACTCCCCACGAAAATTATTTAATTAATTCCAGGTACTCATTTCTGTTAGAGGCTGAGTCAATCCTAGGGCCATAGTGCGGCTGGAAGGAGTAGGTCAATTGAAAAAAATCCAGTGACCTCATCGGGACTTGAACCCATGACCTTCCAGCTTGTAGCTTAGCCCCTCAACCAACTGTGCTACCGCGTGCCCCCTTTGATGGACTACATGACGTTTTTATCTCAGAAGATAGAACTTTGCATAATATAAGTTTCTTTGCTATATTTTGTTTACGTTGAGAGAAGCTTAATTACAGTCATTTAAAAATTAATGCCATTGTATTGGCAGTGCCTTGATACTGGCTCTTTACAATTTTATTTAACAAGCTGTTCATCATTGATGGCTGATAACTGTAACATTATGGTCATCTGTAGCTGTGCATAAGAGCTTATATCAACAGAATAGCAAACTACATATTACAAGGATTCCTTGAAAAGTGGTAGTTATTTACTTACCAGAGACATATCCTGCTGTCATAGAACTTAAAACCTCATAACGGCCATGATCAGAAGTGTTACCGTTAGATTTTATCCTGTGCAAGTTGTGCTTTTACAGCATACCAGAAATCTGAAGAATATGGGTGTTGTTGAACCCATTTGAAATACCTGAATTGGAAGATCAGTCCTTATCAGCTGTGCCTCCATAGTCAGTATGTTCCCAGTTATCCTCATGTCTACACACCACAGATCACTAAAGGTCAGGGTGCAGGGGCCAGCAGTTAGGCCCACCCCTTATGTATGTATGAATTTTCATATCTGGAGGCCATTCCCACCACCTGGTGCCTGAAGGTGTACCATGTAATGTTGGTGAGGCTTATGTTTACTGTGGTAAAAACTAGAGTTGTGTGTAGTTGGAAACTTGAGATGTTTATGTGCAATATGGAGCAGTTTGCAACACAGTTTCAAAATTCTCATTCTTTGTTTAATTGAATAATTCAGTGTTACTTATTCATAAATATGAATGTCTTCAATAGGTGTACAGAAAACTAAAGATAATATATTAAAGCAAAATTTTACATGATTTATGTGGTTGCAGAGTTGGGTTCTGTGAAGGAAAAGGGGGATTGTAAAACATGGCTGTGAGGACTATGTTATGGACTAAGGGTTATGGTCTAATGCAGTAAAAGAGATTGTTACTGAATTACCTTGATTTCCGCACCCTTCACCTAATATTATTATCACAGTAATGAAATCGAGGAATTTAAAATATGCTCTCCATGTTATCTGCATGCAGCAGACAAAAACTACAAATTCATGTGTTATCGTCTTCTGTCGTATGACACCGTGCAATGAATGTATGTGGGTATGTATTTTGAAAGAACATGTTGTCTTCCTCATCAGAGCATATGTAGGGTTTCCTGAAGATGGAGGATTATATTTCTCCAAAACGTTCTTACCCACCTACCATACTACATGGTGTCTTAGCCCAGAATACCACATTACGAATCTTCATGGCTGTGAAAATCTCAGATCTTAACAAAAAATTTAAACAATTCAAATTTTGTGATTGGGAGACCCCATTTTAGAAATCTACTTGAAATGGTTGAATCATGTTACAGAGTGAAAAGATTTAACAGCCATATATCTGATAAATACTTAACGTTCAGAAGGAGTTCTCTTTGGTTATAATGCATGCCTGCGTCAAAATGGATGTAACAGCCGGGCTGCATACTAGACTGGACTCTCAGGTTATAAAATTGATCTTATTTCTGAAATGAAGTTATAAGCTTTATGTGCACAATTTGATAGACCAATATACTTTATCCTCAAGACCAAATTATGGCTCAGGCAGTAACGCATTTCTGACTTATGTTTGTAAGGTGTCTGCCTCAAGTCTTGGCTGGGAGACTGACTGCTCTGACCAACTCAATCCTGAGCAGATCCAAGGCTAGTATCTCTAATCAGTCCATGACTGCTTCTGCATTCTATCCAGTTAGTTAATCACTCATCATCCAATCAATTGTTGTCTAGTCTGCCAGCATCATTAAGTATGCAATAAGTTAATTGGCTGTTAAGTGTACGAGATAGGTTTGGGGCACTCTTCTGCAGCCATTTGAACATTCTGTCCATTTACTGTAACTGTAACCAAGATGATCCCCCTATTTAGCTTTATCAGTTCGTTATTGAATAATATGCTGATGTAATGAAGCAGTGTCCTTCTTTTGCCGGTTCAAGGACTGAGTCTGACCTATTCTGAGACTAATCGTCTAGTGACTGAAGTTAGCTATTTGTGAGGGACCCAGCAGAGTACGTGTTTCCCCATCCTCATCTGGGGACAGAAACAGATTCAATTTTGGAAACGTTTTGTTCTCTAGTTTTTAGAATACTGGATGATGGACAATGTCCAGAAACGCAGTAATTCTGAGTATAAGGAAAAGTTCTTAACCCAGTCTGTTGATGAAGGTCCTTTTAAAACCATGTCTGTGGTATTCACATTGTTCCTGAAGTATTGTTTGGGAAAGTAATGTTAATCTACTGACAGCTAAGTTGTAGAATTACCCATGAGTGTACCATGGACACAGCTGATAGATGGGTTCAGAGTCCACTCAGCTGCTGGAGCCAGACAAGCAAACATAGAGCTAAAGTTTAAGACCATGGTTTTGAGGGATGTGATGCTGTATACTCTGGTAAATACATACGTGCAGTTTGTAGGAAACTTTTTGTCTGCAGGTTTGATGTTTTTGATACACAGTGTTATACAAGCAGTCATGCCAAAATGAGACGCTTTCCAAATGTAGTCTTCATAAACAGGTTAAGTGCCAAATTAAAGATTGTTAGCATCATGTATTTTATCATACACTGTAAAATCTGGTGTCCTCCTGAAGAATTGGAAGTGTGTTTATGCCATTGTACATAGAAAGTACATTTGTCTGTATGGGAGACACAAGAAATGTACACAGAATTTTCATGGGTATCTCTTGGAAAGCAGCCTCTTTGGATTAGGAGGTTGAGATTGAAACTGATGCAGTATTACTAATTTTATTGGGCTTGATATTCTAAACTAGAATACTGTTTTTGTATCAGGAGATCCATCTTCAGAAATGTTATGTTCTGTATTTTGGAATACTAGAAGGTGGATGAAGTCCAGGAAAACAGTGCTACCAG